CCCCTGGCATAGAGCTGTGGATGTTTCCCATTTTCAACATCTGACTAAAACACACTGGTCAGGCTACCACTAATACTCACAGTCAGTATCTAGGATTTCTAAAAGGCCTAAAGTGACATTTTTCCTCATGAAAGTTATTCCACTTATGCTAAACTTGATTGATTCTGCTATCATTTCCTACTCAAGTTAGTGGTACAGCTGGGAGTCAATCTCAAAAATAATCAATTGCTCACAACTAAACATTTGAAAGTTGGCTACAAACCTTTGAACTCAATTCCGCACAGTGACATTCAAGTTTGCCTAAACTCATGTGCATGCAGAGTATGAGATATTCTGCTGTCGCTGTCTAGACAACAGGTCTGAAAAATGCATTTCCCCTTAACTCACGCATTGATAATCCAACTGTAAGTGGAAAATGGAAGATTGTGAATTACACTCAAATAACATTGCCAGTACCAAAACATCTACCCGTTTGACAGGGTTTACAGAGGACGGTTGAGGCAGCCCCTGTTAGTCAGCTAAGTTAAAAAGTTTTGCGAAAGCTCATTTCTATGCTATTGTCAGTTTTAATTCATAGTACTCTTTATTTTGCCAGATGTCCTTTTATATGTCTTAGTCTTTGGAATCAAGGTTATTGTGTGTAATCAATCAGAATTGGAGTTGATTCCAAAATGCCTGTAACAGCCCTAGCTAGTAGTTAATCTGACATGTCAGGATTAAAGTTCAACTGCTGAAGACCTAAACTATAGGAGAGGCTGCTTGGCTGTGTCTACCTTCTCTAACTCTGATTGGACAAGTTTCAGTTTCAAGAGTTGAACCATTCTGTTTCCACCCAAATGACGAAATAAGAGTTTTACTACAATACTCTAGTAATACTCTAATACTACTAATATAAAGGAGCATGCTAACTATTAAATAAAATGTATGGGTTTTGCTGTTTTATGTTCGCTGCATGGCTCTCTTTTGAAAAACTCAAAGCAGCTGAGTAAACTAGGTCGTGGGCATTTTTTTTCGGTGCTGACAGATCAGATCAAAGCTAAGGTCGGCCTTCAATAACAGTAGTAAAGGAGGGTTATTAGTGGCTAAAGTCCTTCACAGATCGAGTTCATGACACTAACAAAAAGCAGATTATTAAAAAGTTTAGCTTATTTAGCTTTTTTTGTTCCAGCTTTATGTATGTAAGTTAATAGTAGTAGTTAACCTTTTTTCCTCATATTTTTTGCTTACATATAGAAACCATCGCTTGCTAGCAGACCTGACTAGCACTGTTCTTGCTTACCAATGGGGAGACACCCAGCCAGAAGCCCCAGAAAAAAGACATTTGGTCCACCTTTAGAAAAAGGCAGTGTGAGCCCAGCCTAAGACTGGGCTGTATTGTGCATCAGGACTTGGCTTGGCTGTATTGCGCCTCATTCCAAAAGCAGCCTGGGCTGAAACATTCCTTAGGACTTCACTGTGCATGGGTGGGCAGACCTGCTGTGGGCTGAATGTTATAAGACACATGGGAAAAACGATTGTTGTGATTTTTTATTTAATTTACACTGTTCTGTGTTGGGGTGGCACGGTGGCACAGTGGGTAGCGCTGTCGCCTCACAGCAAGAATGGCCTGGGTTCGATTCCCGGCCAGGCGACCAGGGTCTTTTCTGTGTGGAGTTTGCCTGTTCTCCCCATGTCTGCGTGGGTTTCCTCCGGGTACTCCGGTTTCCTCCCACAGTCCAAAAACATGCAGTCAGGCTGATTGGACATGCTGAATTGCCCCTAGGTGTGAGTGAGTGTGTGAAGGTGTATGTCTGTCTGTCTGCCCTGCGATGGACTGGCGACCTGTCCAGGGCATATCCTGCCTTCTGCCCAATGACAGCTGGGATAGGCTCCAGCACCCCACCGCGACCCAGAAGGATAGGCGGTTTAGATGATGTATGTATGTTCTGTGTTGTTACTGATTGGCAGGTTTCTTCATGTAATTCTTCTGTTAATATGTTTCATGAGAAATTCACTTATTCAAAAGAAGTTACAAAATTTTCAGCATTATTTTGGCTCTCATGGCCTGCTTCAGTCCACTGCTGCTCCCATAATCCCACTGCTATCATATGACCTAAGCAAACAATTTGCCATTTTCCAATAACAAAATCATGCAAATTTGTTCATAAAGTGGTAGAAGTTGTTATGTGATCGTCAGTTAATGACATGTATGTAACTGTCCACAAAACACTTGCACGAATCCAGTAATGCTAAGCTTGTGACTTGTGAACATGTCCACTACTGTTTAGTTCCATCTTCCCTCAAAAGAGTTTAGTAACACTGAGATTAATAACTGATTGTCACATTGATTTATCAGTCTATTCAGACTTTAGCAGAGGTCATAACACTGAGATTAATAACTGATCATCACATTGATTTATCAGTCTACTCAGGCTTTAGCAGAGCTCATAACACTGAGATTAATAACTTATCACATTCATGGCCGTAACTAGCAATGAGGACACCGAGGTCCGGACCTCGGTAGTTTCAGAAAGATTTTTTTTTTCACTTTTGTCCATTCATTCATTCATTGATTAAACGTAGAAACAGCGCCGTTATGATAATACAGTAGTCTATTCAGGGGCGTAACCAATGTCACAGGCCCACCCAAAAGGGGTGTTGACAGGTTCTCAGCTGACCTCAGAACAGCTGTGGCTCGGCCCTAAACTGAACTGCTCACTCTGTTTATCTCTGTATGCGACGCTACGCTGCCCAGAGTCCCAGAGTAACTTTAACTTCTTGAGATGTTCAGGTGTGCAGCACACAGACTATAGGCTAGCATATAACGTTGCTATGGTATGTGTATGTAGCTAGCTAAGGGTTTATGAGCGCAGTCAACACATTAAGACTGTAAATTGCAAACCTTGTATTTCATTTTTTGTTTGGACTGCTCGTAGTGTTGCTGGCTAAATCAGTATGCTTTAGATTAGCTCCAGTAGCTGCTCAGTTTAGGCTACAGGCTCCATAGTAGGCTATAGTAGTGATTAGATGAGAAATTAAAGTTGTATTTTGTTACCTACACATAACATACTGCAACCAACATGAGAAAGTTCACTGTAGCCAGCATATTGATGGTATAGTATCATGAAGCTAACATTATTAAGAAATCAGAAGGTACATTAGGCTGTATTTTGTCTCATTAACTGTATGAGTAGCTGCCTTTCCTGTTAGCTGGGGTTTGACACAGACAGCCTTTTATAACATGTTTAATGTGTGCTTTTCCAGTAATCAGTGAGAACAGAAATGCAAAAGAGAGAATCACTGATAGATAAAAAAAAACCCTAAAGGAGAAACTCACTGTTGGTGTAATACTCATATTTGGCAGTTAGTTTATTCACCATGATATATGTAGGTCACATTTCTGCAAAATGGACCTCACTAAAATTTTCATCCTAGTTACAGCCCTGATCCCAGTGATTCATCAGTCAGTAGTACAGATCAGTAACGCTGAGATTAATCCTCTCAGGTCGACAATGTCATTTATGACATCAAAGAACATTGTACATAAAAGAATATCTTTCAGAACGCTGCACACTAGAGACTTTTTTCCTATAAGGGTAGAGATGTACTGTTTAAATGAAGGCTCTGGTGCAAGTGTATCCCTTTCAGAAGCTTTGTAATCCAGCCTTTTTGGAGACTTTGTAAAATAAACCCATAATGCCAAATCCAACGCTGAATGTCTTCTGTGATTATTTCCAATTACTTGTGATGAAAACAGTTGTTGTTGGCATGGCTGTTAGCCATCTACTGATGCCCAGGGTTGAGTCTGTTGACCAATCAGTGGTTGGGTTCCTGACTTGTTGACCAGTCAAAGGCTGTGTTTCTGACTTCTTGTTGGAGCTATGCTACCCTTCCTAGCATGCAAGTCTCTAGCATGCAGCGTTTCCATGATATACTTTTCTGGACAACCTCTTTTGATGTTGTATACAACATCATTGACCTGACAGTGCATTGACAGCTCATCCAGGAGGTCACAAAGGAACCCAGACGAATATTTAAAAAACTGATGTTATTATTACATTTAAATGTGCAAAATGAGAAGAAATCAAGTGAGGGGCAAATACTATATATATGTATATATATGTGTGTGTGTGTGTGTGTGTGTATTTGCCCCTCACTTGATTTCTCCTCATTTTGCACATTTCACATGTTTAAATGTAATAATAACATTAAATAAACACGTATGAGTGTGTTTGTGTGAATACATACATATATGTATTCACACACACAAACACACTCATGGCCTTGACACACTCATGGGGTGCTTTGTGGCTTGGGGGCCCTAAGCAACTGCTTGTACCATTGACAGCAAAAACGGCCCTGGATGATATAGTTTGTAAATAAATACATGATTGTGACATCACAACCATGATAAACTTGAAATGGGCTGTTTTTGCGTCTTAGTTTTCATTTATGGATTGGGGGGTGTCTGGTAGGTTGTAACTGTTTACATGCTATGTGAAACTCTTATTTCAAAAACACAAGCACTGTTTTCTACGATACGATCCCTTTAAAAAAACTGACCCTGAAATGACGTTTATCTTTTTTTATAACCCTCTATTTTGGGTATATGGGCTTTTTTTTAAAAACCCCAATCTAAATTTAGAACGAGGCAAAAAACAGCCATACGTAACAGAGCATCACATTATCATGTCAGTGCCAACATGGGGTGAGGCTATTCACAGTGAGCAGCAGCACCGAGCCTGGAGATGAAGAGCAGACACACAGAGAGGCAGCGGCGCTGACAAACACCACTGTACGACCACCACATTGTTCACAGCCCTGTTTTTTTCCCCAGTGGATCTGTGTTGGCAGATGAGGAACGACCGTGGACCGAAGAGCGAGGAGCGCAAATAGCGGGTCTGGGAATGAACGGCGATGAGAGGCGAGCGCTGCCTGCCATTGATTAACGGCGCGGTGACTACAATGGGAGATCAGAGCAAAGCAGCGTCAGTGAGGATCAGCAGAGAGCTCACAGCACGGGGGACACGAGAGGAGACCCTCAGCCCTGCGACCACAGCGCGGACACGGCCTCGCCTCTGATGACCATCAAGAGGTAAAGCGTGTAGCGTTTGATTGGTTTGAATGACCAGCTTGGCAGAGAGCGACAGCTCGGCTGGGGCTCGTGTATCTGCGTTGGGGGAACAATGGAATGCTGACAGCTGTGCGTTCCAGCTGTTTGTGCAGAAGAAACAGGGCGGATAGACTGATCGGACACGGCTTTAGCTCGGGCAGTCGTGGGTGGCGGAGGATGCGATTATTGAATGTGAAGGGAAACATGGAACAGGTAGCTGAGGCGATGCTGGTTGGGATCTTAGGTTTTATAGCTGCTGTCTGCATCCATGACTCTGAGGCAGAGATGTAAGTCATGTTCCACAGCAGCGCTGAGGGAAAACAGGAGAGTGAATGGAGCTGAGGGGTGATATTAGAGACGAGGGCCCTGCGAGATGCTGAATGTTGAAAAGCATAATGATAATGATGATGCTTCAATTTAGCATCATCATTATCATCATCATCATCATCATCATCATCATCATCTTCTTGTTCTTGTTCTTGTTCTTCTTCTTCTTCTATTATTATGATGCTTATACTGGTTATTATTATTACTATTATTATTATTATTATTATTATTACTATTACTATTAAGCAGTAGAGGAGCAAAATGGCATTTTAAGTTAGTGTTGTACTAAGAGATGGTGGAAAAAATCAAACATTACAAATCAAATGCCCTCACAGGTCAACTTTGGAACATGGGCTGCACTTTGTGCAGGTTTGTTCTATAGCATTGCTTCAAAGAATTCTCTTTTGCCATGTTTTAAGAACACAGTTGGCTTATTTTGGATTTCCATTCATTGTCATCCCTTTTTTTTAAAGGTGAAAGCAGCATCAGAGGGAAGGTGTGGATAAACCTTGAGGTGCCGTTGTTGGAGTAGCTCCATGCGCTATCCCCCAGCTCATCAGAATCATGAACTATAACTCCAGCACGGTGCCCTGGGACCCTGGTGCTCTCCAGCAGCCCTCTCTGGTCAACAGCGCTGTAAAGATGGCCCTCATTTCGGCTATCGTGTGCACGTCTCTTTTCGGTAATGTGGTGGTGCTGCTGGTGTTCCAGCGCAAGCCACAGCTGCTGCATGTGGCCAATCGCTTTGTGCTCAACCTGCTGTTGGCTGACCTGCTGCAGACCGTGCTGGTCATGCCCTTCGTCATTGCCGCCGCCGCACCTGGTGTCTGGCCCCTGGACACTCGTCTGTGCCAAGCCCTGGTTGTCCTTATGCACCTTTTCGCATTTGCAGGGGTTAACACCATCATTGTGGTGTCGGTGGACCGATACCTGGCCATCATCCACCCACTGTCCTATCCCACGCGCATGACGCCCCACCTGGGCACAAACCTCATCGCCCTCACCTGGCTGCTGGGCCTGCTGCAGAGCACTCCGCCCCTCTATGGTTGGGGAACCATCGACTTCGACCGACAACACAATGCCTGCACGGTGGTGTGGTCCTCCAGCTACTCTTACTCAGCCCTGGTGGCCACACTCTCCTTCTGGCTGCCTGTGGCCATCATGCTGTGCTGCTACTGGATGGTGTTCAGAGCAGCCAGACGACAGAACGCTCTGGTGCATCCCATCCAGAGCAACCAGCCTCCAGACTCCCAAGTGGAGGTGAGTAGTAACTTGTTTCATTTACTTAGTTACAAATACTCAAGTAAAATTTTTAAATGTAATGCCTTCAATTCTCGGTTCTTTATTCATTCACTTTGAGACACTAATTGTCTTTTTGTGTTTAATTTCATTCTGTTCTGTTTTATGACAGCACTTGGACATTTTTACATATTAATTTTTTGAGCTTTAGCATTTTTTTAGACCAAAATGGTCCCAACAAGAACATCATATGCTGATGGTGGGTGTTCCACTGAAGTTCCACTGCAGCTCTAAAGAGCAATGTGTCCAAAACTTTGTCCTGCAGTAACCGTGCCCTGCATATTTTGATGTTTTCCCTGCTCTAATTTGGTGTTTTCACATCATCATTAACAAGCCCTTCCTGAGTTGAAGTGGATAAACTCTAAAATGTGCAGTGGCACTCCAGGACCAGAGGCCAGATTCACGAAAATGTCTCAAGAAAGAAAATCTTCTTAAATGTGTGTTTTTTCTTAATTCATTCTTAAGGAAAAAGTCATGAAAACATTTTATTCTTCATATAACTTCTTACGAATTATCTTATTTTCTTTTCTTATCTATTTTCTTAAGAATAATTCTAAGAACAAGTGGTATTCCGGAAAATAGTATGTTCTTAAATGTTTTCTTAACCTTACAATAGCCTCACACTTGTCTAAAGCTACAAGAGTTGAAAAGGTAAGCATCTAAATTTATCAATTTATCAATTTATTTAGCTCCTGTTTGCTAAAATTTTTTTTAAATACTTGGTTTGATATTTTTCCCTCATTTTGCTCCTCTGAGTGGATGAACCTAATAAAGAAAAAAACAGTTAATACAAATTCAAAATGTTTCTTCTGTTATTTATGGTATGTGATAAAATGCAACATAGCCTGCATAAGAAAACAATGAAGATTTTCCTAAAAAAAATCTTAAGGAAATAATTAAGATTATTTTAGGGGGAATATTTGAGAGGTGTTTTGAGAATTGCATTTAAGAACAATCTTATGAACTTCTCAGTGTTGTTATAAGTACCTTTGCAAGTGTTTTCTTAAGAAAGTTTTTATGAACCCAGGCCAAGCACAGTAACCACTACTACAAGGAATTCAGCTCTCTGGTAGTTTTTTGACCTTTGCACTCTTCCAAAATGGTTCTTATCTTGGATGTAGAGTTCTACAATTATTATTAATACACTATTCCATAACAACAAGGAAAACAGTGCAAACTGAGTTATTCTCAAGTTAAAGGAGTGAGGAATGAAGGCCTGGATCTGGTGGTTGGTCTTTTAGTTCCTGGAAAAACCTTTCAATGGATGTTTTTTTAGGAAACTATTTTTGTAAATGAGATATGATTCAAAGAACCTTATCAAAGTTTAAAGAACCTCTACAAAATGTAAAGGTTCTAGGAAGTTGTGTCATTGTGTGAAAGTTCTTTAACCCCTTAAAATCCCAGGCTACTAAGCCTTATTATTTAGTAACTACAAGGAAAAAAGTGCAAAGTGGTGGAGCTATTCTTAGGTTATAGAAGTGTGTAATAAAACGTTGGGCCCTGGCCGTTAAAGGGTTTAAACCTTTAAAAGGTTCTTTGCACTGGCAAATCCTTTTAAACATGGTTCTCTTGGTAAGAGGCAAAGAGTGTATTAAAGCTGTTGTTAGTTAGTCAGTTATTTAGTTAGTTAGTTTGTCTGTTTGTTTGTTTGTACGTTTTTGCAAGGCATACTTAATAATATAATTATAATTATAATAACATATAATATAATTATAATAACAGCACCAGGAAAAAAGCACATATGTTTTACAGAAAATGATACAGAAGGCTCAACAACTCAATGTAATATCAAATTCAAGTATTTGTCCTTTGCCTTTATTATAGCGTCTATTCTTTTCAGGACACTTGCTTTCATTCTTTTTCAAAGAAATCTGCAGGGATATTTTCTACACCTCCAGAGTTCTTAGATATTGGTTACATTTTCTGCTTTTCACAATCCACGTAATTCCAAACACATTCAGTGATGTTGCGGTCCTGGGGTGACCAGGCTGTTGTTCCAAGGGCACCAGCAGCTTCTTGAACTGATTTGCAGATGTTCTTCTTTTTGTCTATGTTCTTATCTCTCAGTAGCAGCTTCTTGACAGCTACATATTCTCTCAGACTCATAGCACTGAGTTGGCTTCTTACAGTGGAAGAATGGACACTAACGCCTGTGGATTCTTTAAATCTGAATGAAGAGTGGAGCTTGATTTTCTCTTGTCTCTCAAAGATGACAATGACAGTTTTGGTGGTCCATCAGGTCTTGCACTGTTGTTAGGAGTCCCATTTTTAATGTACCATGTACCTTTTAATCATTGTTTGAGCTCCTGTTTTTCCTCCTCATTGTACAAATGGATGACCTTATATCCAATCTCCACAAAAATCAGTAAATTATACTTAATGGTAATTTTGTCTGGAAAAAAACTAAATGAAAGGTGATCTCTGATTTCACACAGTACTGTAATTTCACTGATGTAACAGTATTTTTAGCATGTATATATATTTAAACTCTATCCACCGCTGCTCTTCAGGTGTCCTGTTCCAGTCCCCAAAGACAGCAGCAGCCCCAACCTGAAGGTCCTTTCTCAGCCACGTATCCCATCAAGAATCGGCACAGGCGCTTCCACTACCACTGCAAGGCGGCGCGGGTGGTGTTCGTGGTCATGGCATCCTACATTCTGGGCATGGGTCCCTACAGCATCCTGAGCACAGTGTCCATGCGCTCGGGGGTCTCTATACCACCCTGGCTGGCCTCGCTGTCACTCGTCCTCTTCTTCCTGCAGTGCTGCCTGCATCCGTACATCTACGGCTACATGCACCGCAGCGTCCGTAAGGAGTTCCTGGCATTGCTCTGCGGGCCACTGTGTGTCCAGAGGGGGCCAGGCCGAGGCTCAGCAGCCGAAAGCTGCTTCACAGTGACAGACGGGCGCTCAGCGCATGGCCCACACCTGCACCCATCTGGCCCTGGCCATTCGGCCCGAGTATGCCCCCTCCGCACCTGGGAGGAAGCCGCTTCGTCCTCGCCCACGGAAAGGAGGTCCAGGGAGAGCCACAAAGAGACCACCTCCATCAGCCTGAGCTCTGAGAGGGAGCTGACCGTTCACAGCAGCAAGTGAAGGGAGCATGTTGGGTGCCACACATTTGCATTTACAAGGCGAGTGGGTGCTTAGTGGCTGCCAAACCTTGAAAGAGGAATTCAACAGGACAAATATATAGAAACATCTTATCACTGCTGTCATAAAAAGAAAAAAAAAACAACTCGTCTATGAAACAGTAACCTTAGAAAAGAAGGAACAAAAAAATCTTAACTAAACATATGTGACAAAAAAAAGGTTTCAAAATTTGGACCATTTTTGTTGGTCCGTTCATAAGGTTCGCACAATGTAAAGGGCAGCTGGCAAACAAAAAAGAAAAAATGAACAGTGAGAAACATTTTCTGCTGCAGCAACGTTAAATCAGAAGTGTTAATATTGTCTTCTTCACAGATTCAGCCGATGAGCGCACATTGTACAGTGTGCCAAAGTGTACAGGACCAGTCAATATTACAGAACGACTTAGGTTACAAAACCTGTTGCTCTAATAAGTGCATTTGACATTCTGTGGAGGTGACTTTAATTATGAAGTGGTAGATTTATGGAATGTAGTATATTGTTTACTGTTTTCTATTATGTGAATAGTAGGGAATTACACATTGGTCATTTGGTGAAACTATGTAGAATATTTGTATACTCAACCAAAATGTATGTTAGTCATTGTAAAGACAGGAAGAAACCCTGAGTTCTTTTTTCAGTTCAATGATATACAGTCGTGTGCAAAAGTTTTGGCCCCTGTGGTTGAATTACATGTTTTTGTTGATTTGTTGAAGTGATAATAACGTAAACACGTCCTCTACAGAGAACACACTTCTGCACATTTTAATACACAATTACAATTGGAAGTTTCTTTGCTGACTTTACCATATTAGACAAAAAAACATTTAGTGTGGCCAAATTTTACACGGATCAGCCATAACATCAAATCTACCTCCTTGTTTGCTCCTCATTTGTCCTTTGCTGTATAGGTGCACTTTGTAGTTCTACAATTACAGACTGCAGTCCATCTGTTTCTCTGTGTACTTTGTTAGCCCCCTTTTACTTTTTTTATAAACTTCATTGAGTTTTCATCACAATATAAGAAGCAAAAAAGAACAGAATATAGAAAATCACAATATTACATTATCATTTTTCAATACATTCTATAAATGAACTTATCCCAAATAAATTATCCCGTAGTCCTTAAACAGAATGTTCATTATCTTCAGTCTTTTCTGTTCTGTTTTTATTTTTTAAAAACATTCTCGCATGAAACAAAAAGTTGATTGATAGTCATCCTGCATCTCAATTTCCAGAGTTTTGACTTCACTATACAGATTACTAACCAGAAGAAATCATGCTTGTCCTGATTTCATTAAAAATCCCATAAAATACAGATTTCCCTGTTCTTCAGTGGTCAGGACCACCACAGAGCAAGTAGTATCTGGGTGGAGGATCATTCTCAGCACTGCAGTGACACTGAATGTGGTGGTGCAGTGTTAGTGTGTTATGTGCTGGTACAAGCGGATTAGACACAGCAGTGCTGCTGGAGTATTTAAACAGCTCAGTGTCACTGCAAAAATATCTAGCCAACAGCGTCCTGTGGGCAGCATGATGTGGCAAATGATGAAGGACTAGAAGAGGACTAATACAAACTGCAGCAACAGATGAGCTATTGTCTCTGAATTTACATCTATATGTTCTTTAAGCACTGATTCTATCCACAATATGCTCAAACATACATAACAAACAAACATACTATTTATCGCAGTAATGAATATTATCACAGTAACAATAAAATACTGTCATTGCCCAGCCCTCCCAGCAAATGTATAGAAACTGTACACTAAAATTTCCACAAAAGGTTTGTCCCATATAGAGGATGTGTTAACTTATCTTCACTGCGCACTTTGGGGGTGTTCAAACTTTTTCATAGGACTGTAGCTTGTTTTTTTCTTTTTCTAAACATACATATCAGTATATTTTGTGCAGAAGGCAAACATATCCAGCACTGGTGTTCCCAAAGGCACTGGAGAATTAGGGTCAAAGTATTAAAGTAGTACTTGCTTTTACTGTCATGCAACAGGAAATTAGATCAAATCCCCTGCCAGTAATAAGCAGTATATTTAATTGGGAGAACAAACAAAGTTGTGCAAACATGCACAGACATAATAAAATGAGTAACAAGTTTTATAACAGTGGCAGAAGTGGCAGCTGTATTTCTCTGGCAGTGAAATTAGGTAGCCTCTATGCCAAGCCTTGTCATCTTTTCAAGATGCTCACAAATGTAAAACTACAATATGCTGTAAAATTGACCTACTAACCACCTGGTAAACCAACATCACTTTATGCAGGGGAGGCCAGTGTTCCAGTGTGCCAAGGATCTCAGGGTGCAGTACAGCATGTGTGTATTCTCTTACCTCTCATTCGCTGAGATACTTTACTGGTTCTAAAGCAGCCAGGCTCATTTTTATGAGTGCCTCCTTAAAATAGTTTTACAGTATCTTTCTGTAGTGATTATCTGTAGTCCCCCAGTACTGCCAGGCCATTTGAAAGGAGCATAATTAAATCAGTAGGCCCACTCATAGAACATTCAACAGGGTGAAGACCCCCTTGGCACTTTATTTGTTCTGGAGTGGACCGCAGCAGCAGGAGCAACCATCTTCTATGTTCAGTTATGCCCAACAATGTACTACTGGAGCCGCACGATGTGGAAAAAATATTGAATTCCGATTATATTGTTGCATATTGATATGCCTTGCGATAGACTAAAAGCATACTGGTGAAGACCAGCATACTGGTCTTTGTTGGTCAAGGTAGTTGACAAGCTGGACATCCAGCTGGACTAGACAAAAACACACCCTATGATGGGTATGCTGGTAGATCAACTTTAGCTAGTTGATCAGGGTAGGGTATGTTTTTGTTTGGGTTCAGCTGATCTGCTAGCTTGGTCATGCTGGTTGGCTAGCTTGGTCGTGCTGGTCATGCTGGTCGAACTGACTTGGTCATGTTGGTCATTCAGCTTCGTCATGCTGGTCACGCTGGTCAACCAGCTTGGTCCAGCTGGTCCTGTTGGTCAACCAACTTGGTGATGCTGGTCATTCTGGTTGACCAGCTAAACCATCAAACTCAGTCAAAAACTACCTATGCTGGTCAACAAGCTAAGTTGATCTATAATAAAATCATACCCTATGCTGGTCTTCCAGCTGACCAAGCTTAAGCTTGACCAAGCAGTTTTTTCGGCAGGGATGCCTGCGACCAAATCACAGCTGTGATGTTATTGACAATAACACAAAACCTCAATTGCTCTACTGCTTTTCTACAATAGTTTCACAAGTGTAAGAAAAGGTAGCAGACAGTAGGGAACAGAACGATAAAGGCTAGAATGCATATTAACCAATCAGATTGTGTGGTCAGACCTAACTAACTGATAACATTATGCTTTGATCGTTCTGCTCACCACTGGCTGCTAAATAACAATAATGGTAGCTTTACTCTAAGCTGAGAGGCTACTTGATTTTTTTGACAGAAGAAGCTGTCAATATTAAAAGCGTACTTCTGAAACAATGTGCAGAGCTTATTTCCTTTAATGTTCTCTTTAATTTGTAACAGTAGAATGCCTGAGGTTCTGTGTTATTGCGAATAACATCACAGCTGTGATTTGGTGGGGAGCATAATCCTATTTTATTAATAGACCTCTTGGTCATGTTTCATTTTGTAGTAGGCAGCATGGCCAAATAAGGCCCTTTTCTCTATTTTTCTCTATGGGAAAAATGACCTTTTATGAAAATTGCTGCTATCACATGCTATGTTAAACAAAAATGTTCCGAAGCTGACATGCTTTGTCCCAAATATCACTGGATCCTTTGAATGTCAAGGTTGCTAAGTTGTCAAAATATGAATATTGCTATATATGTGCTATAAGCAAACTAATCTTGCATGAAAGTACAACTATTTATTATTTAACACTATTAAATAAGAACTGCAACAGCTGCTCAAACTGTAGGCTACCACTTAAAGAGGACTTGGGCCAATGCCAAAATTACTGCATAATTAAATTGTTAAGATGTAAACACAGTCATTTAATGAAATGCTCCATTCTGAAGACTGGTGATAGGAAGTAGATGTCTGAAGAATTTATTGTCTCTAAAAGCTTACTCACAGAAAGTTATTACTATGAAATTGTTATAAATACGCTGCCTGATGAGACATTGTTTACGATAGTCTTTAAATATTTATCAACATTACGCATAAAAACTCAGATGACATGTTGATTCACCGGTTGTTTTGGACAGTAAATAAAATGGCAATATTTGCATTGCAGACATCTTGACTACTGGTTCCTATCACCCCCACTGTAATGAAATCTGAATTGGGAAGTTTCTCAACAGTGAAGCAAGACACATCAAACTGCTCGCAATGACTTTGTTTGCATCTCAGTAATTGAAATATACAGAAATTTTGGAAAATCAGTCAAATTCCTTTTTAACCATCACACCTGACAAAGTCTGTATATTTGATATGTTGGTGAGGTGTTGTGATGGCAATTCAGTGCAAGTAGCAAAATTTGTATTTCGAATCTTTAATGACCTTGTAATTCAGGGGACGTAATGTACAAAGGACAAAATGTACCGGCTTTGGAACAATTTAGTTTAACATAGGGTGCTATAGTGTCGAGTTTTTCCCATAGACAAAACCAGCTTTGGTCTGGAACTCATTATATGGGCATATTGGCCACTACAAACTGTCCTCAAATGCATGTTTGTATATTACAGAGGCCAGTATTGAGATAATGATTAACAAACAATGTGTCATGCGATCTTACTTGCTGGGTGACAAAAAGTCCAGAGCAATATTCATTGTGCTCAGCGATGAAGCCAGAAGAACACACTGAGTAATAACACTGCTAGCTAGTTAATGCAAACACTGGAGGAATGATATCTCACTTTCAAACAGTTTGTATGTATATTAGGTGTGTAAATGTCCAATGAGTGTCTGTCTGTATTTCAGAACAACTGTGTCACTTTAGGACAGGAAGCCTGTTCTTCACCATGCAGCATATAGTCATGAGTACGTCTGCTTTATCCTGCATGCTTTATTCACCAGACTGTTAAGCCTGCAGATTCTGAATGTGCTGTTTCCACCGCATAGTGGTAAAACATAGGGAGGTTGCCTTTTGGACCTGAATGCAGTTTATATCAGACTAAACAATGTAATGCAACAGTGAGTAGTTAATGAGAATTTTAATGGGATTTCATAGCTGCTTCAGGCTAATTCTGGAGATAACTTGCTCTTTGCATTTCAGCTAAAATATGCAGAGCATGGGGGTCGCCAGGACTGGGAATGGCAACCACTGATTCAGACCTTCTTAAAGGAATATTCTAGTGTTTTCCAAACTAACGTCTATCTGCCACATGTGTACCACATAGTTGATTACCATCCACAATTTCAACACGTTTTCGATTAGAGGAAAAGAAAACCTGCCAGCTCCAAACATACCTACAGTCATATGCAGAAGTTTTTGGGCACCCCTGATCAAATTACATTGAAAATAAGCCAATTCATTCTCTACAGAGAACACACTCCAGCATATTTTAATGCACAATTACTGTTTATTTACTGAATTTAACACCATAATAAATAAATAATAAAATCTTCCTTAATATGTTAAACTCTACAATAAATACAAAACACAAGAAAGAGTCAGGATGTTGCTGTGAATTGCCCTGTAAAGCCTGAAATAATAATTTAAAAGAGCTGATGCTTCGGATTTTCACAGTTCTTTTGGGACACATCAGATGTCTTTACGTATCAACGTTATCTCGAACTCCCCAAACTTACATAGTGTAGCTTTAATTTATTTTCACTTTATATAATAGAAGTGAATTGGCAGGTGCTTATGTCAATGCGCAAAGGCCTCTATTATTAGTATGTTTAGAGTCAACAGATTTTCTTTTCTTTTCTAAGTACTGGAGAATGTGTTGCAATTATTGTCCATGGTTATGGTCATAAAATGCAGATGTGGCAGGCAGTTTAGTTTGAAAAACACTGGAATATTGCTTTAAATGCCTTTGGAAGTCTAACAAACCTATATTTGGGATCTTTTGTTATTACTAATGTATGTTTTAGTGCAAAAACAAGATTACATGAATCATTTGTTGAGCTCCAAGTTACATTTTATGTAAACTTGGAAGTATTTTGAGTACTTAGTTTGAACTGTTTAACATTCAACAAAGTGTCCCACATCACAAGGTATAGCTGGTCATCTAGATGTGAATGGCAAAACAACAGACATCTGCTGTCCAGCATTCTGCAGTTCATCAACTGCAATTCTGTAGACAATCAGACATTCAACAAGTAAACAACAAAGACTCTTGTAAATTTGTAGTTGGACTTAGAACTATTAGACTGTTTTTTTAAACAATATTGAGAGGTAGATATTGTGATGATATGTACTGTGCTTTATTTTCATTTCATGGTACAAGGTTCTTTATGTACACTTCATATGGTTTGACGAAGAGCAAAATAAGCTGTGCCTGAATTTATGCATTAACCTTCTCAAAACTGGATGTTACTGGTTTAAATGATCAAGTTCATTTTGTGATTACCTAAAAAAAATAAAAATAATTCCATCAATCATCAAGTTATTACCAGCATAAAGCTCAGTGCCTCTTACCCCAATCATTTCACTGCTCCACATAAACTCAATGTGAGACATCCACAAAAATAAAACAGGCTTAGTGACCTGCTTTATTTTTGATGTCAATTCATCACTGATATCCACTTATCAGTGACATCATAGACAAACCCTTTGTACCTGTAGTGCTGAAACTATTGTAAAAAATTAAACAACTGGAAAATAAAACAGAGAAAAATCACATTTTCATTTAACTTAATGATAAGTAATGAATAGATAAACAAACGGTAGAACTTAAAAAAAAAAAAAGGAATGAACACATTTGGATCTCTATATAAAATCACACACACACACACACACACATATTGAGTGAAATTATAAAGACTTGCAGCCTTGTTACCTTCATGCATTTGGGCTTAAAGTGCAGGGGGCAGAACCCACCCCCTCAAAGACGTACAGATGTTCTTTTGATTTTGATCTGCTTATTTCCAATCTGTCTGCTCCTATTCTTCTGTCTCTTTTTCTGCTCATGGAGCCCATGTCTGTCGCTGGCAAGTTAACGTGCAAATGTTTGAGCATGCTCAGTCATCCCTTCTTGACTGGCCAGCATGCCAATTACACTCATGACGACTAAAACAGACATGTTCGCAAGAAGTAGTATCGCAGAAGTATTTACCAAGCCTGCAGCCGTATCAGGACCTTTGTAGTTTCAGGATCAGCACCACTGGCTCCACCAACTTTCACAACCACCAATTTATGATGATTCCTCAACACCAAAACACAGAAAAAACCCTACATCTTAACCCCAACCCCAGTCTTTGGAGGTCTGGACAAAGACCTAACTCATGTTATTGTGCAAACTAAACCAGCTTAAGTACAGACAGTAGAAGCATAGAATTATGACAGAAATACACCAGTTTCCAAGCAAAAGAAGGACGTTTTCATCCCGGAGGTGTCTCCCAAACACAGCTTGCCAAAGCATCTGTCCATCAAATGAATAACGAAGAGAACACAGTCTTTTTCTGCACTGCGGACAGATGGAACTGCCAAGCTTGCTGTCTTAGTCCACTTTCACCACACTGTAGATTTTATGTACAAACCAGAAACAAGCGAAGAAGCCAATGGTGCCTGTGAAGAGAGAAACAGATGCAGATGTGTGAGAATAAAACAAGCACTAGAACATTTATTCACAAGGATCATGTTTGTTTCATAGGATTAATTCCAAGTGCTCTTGTAAACACTCTAAGAAAGCGATGAGGAGCCCTGTGCATAAGAGGTCGAGAGAGCATCTCTCCAGAAACCGTACTTTAACATGGCAGGTGTGTTTCATCTTTCATTAAGCCTAAGCCTAAATTTTTGATGAGCCTGCACCTACAACTGGAGCATGGAGTAATCTTATAACTGCGGCAAGCCAACATGATTCCTTCTCTTCCCTTCCCATCTTTCCCATGAAAATAAAACGGAAAAAAAGTACTATACAACTATGGATATTACAACTAGAAGACCTTATCTGCATTTTCACAAATTTTGCAAATAAAACACAGATAATAAGCCACTTGTTTCATACTGCAATGAGCACACTGCTCTAATATGAGGTGAGGTGATCATCCATTTGTGCATATTTCAATGGTTTCAGGATTTTGAGTCAGTCTTTACAAAATCCTAAGCTGGCAGTGACTTATTCCTCACCTTCATTATAGCAATACACGCTCAACCGGTAAACCTAGACCACAGTCATGATTAAAATTACAAAAGCATATAAAAGGCATCCTTACATAACCTTTAGCAGGAGAACAGCACAAGACCAAAAGCCAGCATGTGAACAGAGCTGATGAAAAATAACGCTATGTTTGGGCGATCATTGGAAAGTTTTATACCAGATGGTTTAACAAGTAAATATAACTTACTTACACAGATATGCATTAGATATATATATTTTTCCACATTCAATGCTAGGGCTGTGTGATTTTGTAGAAAATATCTGATTGCAACTGTTTGTACCTTTGATTTAAACTGTGATTATTTTCTAGAAATTCTATTTAGCCACGAAGACCAGAATATCCTCTATTTTCTGTGGGTTTTTAGTTGCTTCTCATCTACAGGCGCCAACACACCTACAGGCAGCTCACAAGCTTTGTGTTATAACGTAAAAAATTCTCAAATTAAAATTGAACCTCTTGCAGTTTGAAAGCTCTTTCAGATTGCAATTCCAATAGAAAACGATTATTCTTTCAGCTCTATTCAGCACAAAGTTTACCATTTTTCATTGTTGGATAAGGAGAAAAGTCATGTTACACATCACATCTGGTAATCTCGTGTATTATCAAAACAGGGCTGCCCAAACTTGGCCCATTAGAGCGTTTTATTTAGCCTGCCAGTAATTTACTCTTCACCCCCTCCCCACATATATTTTTATTCTATACATAACTTATTAAATTCCTTTTTTTAATTCATTTGAACAAAATACAGTGTAATGTTATTAAGCACATTTTTTTTTACTAGCATGTTGTTCTGGTCCTTGGCCTACAACAAACATTGCAAACATAGTGTAATGTTATTAAGACAAAAGGATTGGGCACCCCTAATCAAGAATCCCAAATTACCCACTTGTTAATACAACTGAGTCGATACATTTATATTTCCCAGCTTCCAACATCTGAATGCTGCATAAAAAATAAGAATGATACTGGGAGCTCCACCATGGCACTTCAATATTTATATTATTTAAGACTTTGTGAGTTTCTACTCTGAGTTTTAACTTGAGTGACAACTGAGAACTGACATTCATAATCAGTAAAGCACTGTTTGACTACAAATACTGGACATTATGCTGAATATTATCGGTCAGTGTAATTTAAAGGTCTTTAAAATCAGTATCGGTGGTAAACTGTACATATGGGTTAGGCCCTAATTACAACAGCTAACCAATACAGTGGTGTTGAGGCTCTAACAAAATGGTACCACAAATAGTTCCTGGTGCATTTGAAATGCAAAAGTGGTGGAAATGCTTGTTTCTCACCAGGAAGCAGCATCTATGTTACATGTCGTATTTCTGGTCATTTCTTTGGCGGGGTACATAACTAGGCTCTTGAAACAGAGCAGTGTGTTGAATGAAGATGATCCAGCTGCGCGGACCTGAGCTCTACAATCCAGCATAGGATGAAAATGAGATCACAGCCAGGGGAAATGCACAGACAAGCTGCAAATAAATAGGCAATCCACAGCTCAATCTTCAGCCCCAGGTAATAATCTATTTTAAATTGTATGTCCATGCTGATGCCTTTTGGTCCCTTGGCAGTGGTGTCTTTACTGAAGGCATGCTTAGTGGATCCACACAGTGGTGTGCTACTTCATTAATCTGGCACAAATAAATATATAAATAAATAAGTAAACAAAAGATTGGCATGACGTTATTGTTATGGTACTATGGTCATTCTGCATTTCTACAGAAGCAACAGAAGGAGAAGAAAGATAAGGGAAGACAGGGCCACAGATGAAGGAGAAGAAAAAACGTGGAGGCCAGAGAAGAAGTCTGGTTAGGGTGAACTTTCTCCAGCATGTGTGAGTGTTTCCTACCAGGAAGAGCAAGAGTGTGCTGTTACCATGTGAACTTCCGACCACCACTACCTATAAAGCTATTAAGATATATATTTGTCACAGACGGTTCATAAACAAGCTCCCATCCCCTTCCTGTCTTTATATTTCAAGTACCGGCAGTGGAAGGAAGTTGCCATAACAGCCGTAGCCAGGGCTCCTGAAGCATCTATTAGAATCCATGGCAACAAATAATCGGGGAGACTGATATTCGTTGCGTACATGGCTGTGGCAAAACCTCGGCTGTACTAGCAAAAGCCATACGATGTGCAGCAATCATACGTGATTACAAGGAGTGCGCTGCAATAGGCAATTGAGTCGGTAATGATCTGGAATGCTCTATTACCTACCTAAACTATCGGCATTAGAAAAGACCATTACCATTTCAAGCTACAATCCAAGAAGCTGGGATTCTGCAACAAAGTAGCTTAAGTGGCTGAATGGCTTTCAATGGTAGCACAGCACAGAGGATGCCTGAAACTAGGGGCAGATTTGCAGTTCACTGCTAAAGAGAAGATTAGCATTTTGTTTTTGGGGAGATGGGGAGCAAATTAACATCTGCAGTAAGAGTATGTGTGCGTAAGAGAGAGTGTGTAGATGCTCTTTGCATGTCTTTTCAGCAGGACTCTGCGGGCGGGCAGCTGCTCGGCTCTAGTCATATCCAGCTCAGCAGATAAATCAGGCAAACTGGGGAAGATTTGATTTAGGTCAGCGTGTGGGGTGTGATCTCTCACAATAACATTCAAGGATGGGATATTTATAAGTATCCTCATTTACCCTTGACCTAAACAGTTCTGCGAAAGCATAACATGGCCAGCAGAGGCAAAAAATGAAAAAAGGAAAGAAAAAAAACTCTAACAACTAGGGCTCTCCTGCATAATTTCAATACTCAATTATTGTTTTGTTACATTGGTATTCATTTCTCTGTTTAATATCTGGAAGCCTTTTTAAGCCACAAAAAACTGCCTAAACTACAATCAATTCCTTCAGAAAAGATGGACAGAACTGTTATTGTTTAAATATGGAAAATGTTAATATGTGGAAATTAATTGATAAACTATAGTTGGTTCAGATGAATTTATGCCAGACATCCATGTCACCTCACCTTAGTACGGAACAACCTGCACATCTTTTCATCAAACGAGAATCCCATCCATCTTTCAAATATCTGCATTCTTCAATGGTAAAGATGTAAACAAAGCCATTCAGAGAGGTTTGATGTGAAATGGTGCATTTTAGAGAAACTCACAGAAACAGATTTCTACATAGTGGTGGTGATTTGAACCAGGGATCAGAATGTTTACAACACATTTAGGTCCATTTTGTTTACTATCCGAAGTCGAACTTTGAAGCAGTGGTTCAGGTCATTTTCATACAGAATTTTGTTGGAATCCTTTCAGTTTGGAAGTCAAAACCTGAGATGGTTCGGGTCATTTTCTGACAGAATTTTGTTGTAATCATGTCAGCTTCAAGCTCATAACTTGTCGCGGTGGTTCCCGGTCATATTAAGAGAATTTTGTTGTATTCAGGTAAGTGTCAGACTTGGAACTTGATGTGGTGGTTTGGGTCGGGTCAGTTTTGGACAGAATTTTGTTGTGACTGGGTCAGTGTCGGACTTGGACAAAAAGTTTTCAGGCTGTATTCGGGTTCAAAATTTCAGATTCTTGTTTTTAGTGGTGGATTTGAAAATGAGTATTTGGGTGCTTCTTCATTAATAAACAACAAGTATTAGACGCTTGTAAAATGCTGTTGAGGCCAGCCCTAAAAACTACAGCACCATTCAAACAATTACAGAATCAACAGTTTACTGTTTACTAGGGGTGCGGGAAAAACTCGATTCTTAGATGCATCGCGATGCGGACGTGAACGATTCTGAATCGATTCATTCAACGTCAAAAATCGATTTTCTAAATATTTAATTTATAACGTAATGTTGACAGAACGCAAAAGGCTGAACTGAAAGTGGGAAAGTGCAGCGCCCGCACAGTCTGTGGCGGCACATAACAAAAACACTACTGGAGGAGCGAGAAATCCGACCAGCTCCCTCTGCATTAAAAGCCAGGTTAGGTCAGGAGTCACAACACAAATGATAAGAAGAGCCATTTTGCCTTTCAACGAAGTCAAACCACCTTGGGAGCCACAACATTTAATGTCCAGTATGTGTCAGTATGTGATAATGTCCTAGTATGGGCTAAAAATATAAACGAGAGCGCAGATTTACTCCGCTCTGCTTTAAGCTTTAGCCGCTTTCCTCCCATCTCCGCCAGAAAACTTTTCTTCAAAACTAGAAGAGTTTCTTGTAAAATGTCTCAGCGTCCGGCTGTTTTACGAGGCTGAAGTCGCTTCTCATTCGCCAGTTTCTCGTTCTAATTGTCCCGTTCCACCTTAAATTCTGCCTTAGGCGCCGAATGTAACTGCTGCACCATTAAAGGTGGAACGGGAAAATACGAAAGAGAAGCGAGTTGATTTCCGCAACTTTTTAGAGAAAGAGTCTCTCAGCAGATTTAACCAACCGCGCTGCTTATAAATGCGAACAAGTCCTCCAAATGTTCGTCTTAATCTGTTTTTTCGTTCGCTGCTAGCGAGGCCAGACCTCGGGGCTATGTGACCTGCTGTCTGCTGTCTGTTCTCAGTCGTTGAGAACCAGGGCTTTCGCGCTATGCTGCACACTTGGGAACCGAGATTCAGCGTCCAGTCTCGAAAATACCCTCCCACTCTCTACAACGAGACCAAAAGGGTGTCTGTAACGTACTGCGTGGACACCCATTACCACTGGATCTTATTTCAGGGTAACAGCGCATTTGATCGCAGATGAGTGGCAGCAGCGTCTCTGAATGAGAGCCTTCTAGTTCACTTGCCACATCACTTCCATTTGATTTATTAATAAAAGATATTTTAGATAATTAAAGTATTTGTAATTTACAAATTACAAAGTATTTGTAATTTACATTATGGATCATTACAAATACTTTGCTTTAAAACTACCAAGTCCTCAGACAGTAGGAAGATAGAAATCCTGTATAGAGAAAAAAGATGCATCGAGATGTCATAAGACTTTACATATTAATGTCACTCACACAGGCTAAACAAGAAGGCCCGGCTTGATGTTTACAATGGCAGTAGTAGGTAATTCATTTACATCCTTGGAAGACACGTCCTTGACCAAGTTTTGACTAAGTTGTCTTTGAATAAACTTTCAACACGCTCACAATCATCAGATTCATTCACTCAGGGAAGGGGCCCGAAAGGGGCCACCAAAGAGGTCTCTGAATCCACAAAACGTACATTAGTTTTTTACTGAAAAACAATCATTCACATGACAAGTCATTCCAAACTTTTGAATGGTAGCGTAACCGAGATTCAGCGTCCAGTCTCGAAAATACCCTCCCACTCTCTACAACGAGACCAAAAGGGTGTCTGTAACGTACTGCGTGGACACCCATTGCCACTGGATCTTATTTCAGGGTAACAGCGCATTTGATCGCAGATGAGTGGCAGCAGCGTCTCTGAATGAGAGCCTTCTAGTTCACTTGCCACATCACTTCCATTTGATTTATTAATAAAAGATATTTTAGATAATTAAAGTATTTGTAATGATCCGTAATGCATTTACATTATGGATCATTACAAATACTTTGCTTTAAAACTACCAAGTCCTCAGACAGTAGGAAGATAGAAATCCTGTATAGAGAAAAAAGATGCATCGAGATGCATCGATAATCGTTTTATAATCGCATCACAGCCCTCTGAATCGTAATCGTAATCGAATCGTGAGGTGCCTTAAGATTCCCACCCCTACTGTTTACTCTTCTTCTCAACCACCCAATCATGACAGTCTGACAGAAAGTAAACAAAGAGTGTCTGAAGAGATTATTCAAAAGTTTGGTATCACTGTTTTCAATCATATAAAACCAATTTTGTTAAAGATACATGTATAAAATGACTAATGATTTTTTGATGCTAATACGCAATATATTGCAATATTGTAAGCAAGGCAATATACTGCAAATTTTTACATCTAATTTTAGGAAAACTGTCATAGTATAAAAACATACAACCACATGCATAAAATCGGAGCAAAAGAAAAAGTTTACTTTTCATGCAGTCAGAATATTTGCATTTATCACAGTCCCTGTACCAACCAATCATAACACTACTTCTTGTGCAATCTGAACGAAGGAATCAATATTTGCCTATATCAGTAAAAAAAAGGCAAAATAAAAGCTCGTTTTTTCCTTCCTTGTGCTACTTGAGCCCAACAATGTCAGTGATGTGTTGACAGGAGGGTATGGTGTAACGAGGCTTCATTGTATTCACCATATTACGTATGCCCTGATTTGACACATTGTGCTGCCTTGTTGAAATGTCCAACCATAGGGCATAAATATAGGTAATTCCCTACATAAAACCGTAGGTAGAACATTTTAATAGCCTAAATCACATGAAGCTGAAGTCAGCTTCCTATTCTACAGCTTCTTGTTCTAATTTTCCGTTCCACCTTAAATAGTGCCACAGTTATTATTACAGTGCCTAACCCTGCATTCACACTGGCAGTAACTTTTCGCCTGTTGTCGCCTAAACCGGTGATTGCTCATCACCTGTGGGCGTTTCCGAACTCAAACTGACACTGTTCGGCACGGTTTCACTGATGCCAAATACAAATTAGATGCATGTTTGTTACATTTCAATCTACACTGTTCAAAGTTGCAATATGTAAATTTTTGTTAAAACTTAAAAAAAAGTAACATTACTGAGTGAACATATGATAAAATATAGAGTCCATGTATTGCTACAAGTCACTCTGTAAAGCCTGAAATAATTACTTTAAAAAGAGTCAGAGTTTTCAGGTTGGAGATATTTAGACCATGTCATAAGACTTTACATATTAATGTCACTCACACAGGCTAAACAAGAAGGCCCGGCTTGATGTTTACAATGGCAGTAGTAGGTAATTCATTTACATCCTTGGAAGACACGTCCTTGACCAAGTTTTGACTAAGTTGTCTTTGAATAAACTTTCAACACGCTCACAATCATCAGATTCATTCACTCAGGGAAGGGGCCCGAAAGGGGCCACCAAAGAGGTCTCTGAATCCACAAAACGTACATTAGTTTTTTACTGAAAAACAATCATTCACATGACAAGTCATTCCAAACTTTTGAATGGTAGCGTATGATGTCAAATGTCAAAGAACATTTAACATTTAAGTCACAGTCTCATGGCACATTTACAAATGATTATTAACTCATGCTTTTTTGAGGAAGCTGTGGAAAAACCACAAACATGACCGAGTTAGGTTTCCACTCACCTGTGAAGAGGAAGAATATAAGTACCATAATCATGGTGTAGCCAAAGTAAAGGATGGTACTAGCTGCACCTTGGATTTGGAGTTTAGAGAAGAAATAGTGCATAGCGTAGACAAACAGGTAAACCGCGGTGAATCCACTGGTAAGGAACGATCGCCACCACCAGTGATAATCCTATAAAAAGGGAATCAGAAAACACTTGGTAAGACAATGCAAATACTGTAAGGCAAGGTTCTACAGGCTTAAGTGGTCTGTTCACAGTACATGCAACACTTCAGCCATGTGTGGTATGTTTTGATCTGCAGTACCACAAGTGCAATAAAGACAGCTGAGTACTGAAGAATTTACCCTAGCTTTTCCTTTGCAGGTCTCTCCATTTAGATAGGAGCTTTAGGCTATATATGTTTATATTTTGCCCTACAAAGTGCAATTCTACTTAAGCACTTACTTACTGAAGTACAACAAAACTTCAAAACCAGTAACACAAAAAGCCTTCTCTAATGTGACCTATGCTATCTATCAATATTTCAGAAAAGCATTCAGTAACTAGAAAAGTGCATTTCCTAAAGGAAACGCGGAATGGTTGAGCAGCGGTTACAATGGATGACATTAGGAGGAACGAGGGATGAAAAAACTACACATAGAGGAGTGTGGGTCAGTAAGGCGGTGGATTAGAGCTTGGAGACCTGATCTGAATGAGTACATGTACTTTGGTGGCTGTTGAGAAAAAGACAGATTAGGCCTTTGTTGCGAAAGAAAATGAATGGGACGTTATGGGAGGAATGAGGGATGAAAAAACGACATATAGAGGAGTTCGGGTCAGTGTGGATTAGAGCTTGGGAATGTGCCCATGCATTTCGGTGTCTGTTTCACGATGGAAAAACAAGGCTATGGTTTGGCTGAAAATAAATAGGACCTTAAGGGAGGAACGAGGGATGAAAAAAAACAGAAACAGAGGAGTGCGGGTCAGTGTGGCTATGGATTACAGCTTGGGGATGTGTCTTGAGTGAGTACATGCATTTCGGTGGCTGTCGGGCAAAGAAGTAATACAGTTTGAGTTGTGGCAAAAATGAATGAGGCTCTATGGGAGGAACGAGGGATGAAAAACAATAAATAGAGGAGTGCAGGTCAGAATGACTTTGGATTGGAGCTTGGGGACCTGCCCTGAGTGAGTACATGTAGTTTGTTTGCCGTTGGGTAAAAACGGTTGGGTCGCCGTGTCAGTAAAATATCTTCGAGACGGGGTGTGTGCAACATAGCGCAAAAGCCCTGTATCTCAACGACTGAGAATTGGCATGCAGACTGAAGGTCACCTAGCAACGAGGTTTCGCCTGGCTAGTAGCGAACAAAAAAGTAAAAGAGAAAGACAGACGAACATTTGGAGACGAATGGACTTCAGAGATGGGCAACGTAGTTGGTTTCCTGATAGGTTAAATCTGCAACGAGAGACTGTCAAACACTAAAACAGTTTGCGAAGATGAAGTCGCTTCTCTTTCTAATTTTCCCGTTCCACCTTAAATGGTGCCGCATTTACCTTCGGCGCCTCTGTCAGAATTTAAGGTGGAACGGGAAAGTTCAGCAAGAAGCTGGCGAATGAGAAGCGACTTCAGCCTCGTAAAACAGGCGAAAGCTGAAAGACATTTTACAAGAAACTATTCAACTTTTGAGGCAAGGTTTTCTGGCAGAGATGGAAGGAAAGCGGCTATAGCTAAAGCTTAAAGCAGAGCGAAGTAAATCTGCATTTCGTTTACATTTTTTAGCCTAAACTAGGACATTAACACATACTGAGACATACTGGACATTAAATGTTGTGGCTCCCAAGGTGGTTTGATTTTTATTGAAAGGACAAAATGGCTCTTCTTAACATTTGTGTTGTGACTCCTGATCTAACCTGGCTTTAATGCATAGGGTGCCGGGCGGATTTCGCGCTCATCCCATTGTGTTTTTGTTGTGTGCCGTCACAGACTGTCCGGGCGCTGCACTTCCAAGTTCCGCCTTTTGCGTTCCGTCAACATTACGCTATAAATTACATATTTAGAAAATCGATTTTTGACGTTGAATGAATCGATTCAGAATCGTGCACGTCCGCATCGCAATGCATCTAAGAATCGATTTTTTCCCCGCACCCCTACCTTAAAAGGAGTTCCACCTTAAAAAAAAATCATTATGTGTGCTGATACTGCTGAGCATTAGGCTGAGAGCATGTGAGGCATTGGGCTCTGTGCGTGAGTTTGGATGGGTGTAAGTTTGGATGGGTCTGCTCAATGTAAGTCTATGGGAGACATAAAGGAAGGAATAAAATGACAAACGTATAAGTGCGGGTCAGAAAAACAGTGAATTCATGCTTGGGGGCGTGCCCTGAGATAGTGTATGAAAAACGGTGTAGTTCGGGCAAGCAGAAGTACCTTAGATTGGCATGCAAATGTTCATCCCATTCATTCTCTATGGGAAAAAATTCTGCAAAATTTCCTTGGTACACGGAATCTGTGCATCCGATCAAAAAGCTGTATAAAGCACGCATCACACAATCATGCTGGACAATCTGGAGTTGGAACGGTGTTGATATCTCGAAAACTGCGGGACGAGTTACGCGGCAAAGAAACACGGCATAATAATAATAAAAGATGAGAATAATATAAATCGGATAACAATATAATAAATACTTTTACAAATGTGTTCTTAATAATATAATGACAGGTAATAGCCACAGTCAACATTCTTACCTCAGCACACAAATGGAAGTAGCACAGCAAGATCGTAGCCTCAGAACAGGTGATGACAAGAATTATGAACACCAAGAACAGGAAGCCAAACATATAATACATCTGATGAGACCTGCAGAAAGACAAGGAGACCCCAGAACTCCATCAAAGCTCCAACAGGCTCCCATCTCTTTTTGTAAACACACTATATGGCCAAAAGTATGTGGATACATGACCATCACATCTACAAGACCTTGTTGGACATCCCAAAACATTGGCACAGGCATTAATACGTAGTTAGCCCTCCTCTGCGGCTCTACTCTACTAGGAAGGATTTCTGCAAGAATTTGTGCCTATTCAGTCAAAACAGCATCTGTGAGATCAGGCACTGATGTCGGATGATAAAGCCTGGCTCATCAGAAGTTCCAGTTCATCAGAAACTTGTCTTTACGGATGTTACTTTGTGCACACGGACACAGTCATGCTGGAACAGGAAAGAGCCTTTCCCAATCTGTTGCCACAAAGTTGGAAGCATGTAATTGTCCAAAAAAGTCTTTGTATGCTCTAGCATTAACATTACCCTTCACTAGAGCCTAGACCAAACCAGAAAAACAGCCCCAGCTCATTATCCCTCCTCACCCAAACTTTACTGTTGACACCAGACTGCCAGATAGTGACGCGCGATTCATCTCTCCACATAACATGTTTTTGCTCCAGAATCAGTGGTGGCATTTACACCACTCCACACACAGCACTGTGCATAGAGATCATCGGCTTATGCAGTTAGTACACAGCACAGCTAGGAAGTATTGCAGAAAAGCACCAATGAAGGCTCAAGCTCATTCTCCTCGTATAAAATTAATGGAATAAAAAATTCAACATCATTCAATGAATTTATAACATTTGGTATCAACTAAAAGATAGAAGGTGAAGTAAGTAGCAATGTGATTAGGTTAGCTGATGTGAAAACTGAAGACTAGCCTTTTGTCTATTTATCTTAACCCTTTAAAATCCAAGGTTTATTACATACTAAGCCTTCTTATTCAGTAACTACAGCGTCTTCAATGCAAACTGATTGAGCTATTCGTAGGTTATAGAAGTGTGTAATAAAACTTTGGGCCCAACGGCAGGCCCTGGCCATGTAAGGAGTTAAAGACTTTAGACTGGTTGCCTTTGTGCCTTGTCACAGTATTAAAGCAATTGCTTGAGAGTGGAGAACCCACCAGATGCTGTTGAGGATGAAGAAGAGCTGGATGAAGATGCAGCCGAATGGCAGGATGCCGCCCATGATGATGCCTGGCACAGGTTTAGTGAAGAAGGACTGCTCAGGGATTTGCCGTGGGATCTGATTTGTTCGTACTGGGGCCTCAATCACCTGCAGAAACACCCACAATCAGGTTGTGTATTAGACTCGGCCAACAGCACAGACAAAACACACAAACAGATGGAAGAGCAGCTTACAGTTATTAAAGAGCGAAACTCACAAAACCTGAAAGATCTGGTCAGTAGGCTAATCTCAGAATCTATAACTGTCTAACATATTCACTCCATAAGATGTAGGGTAACTTTCCTTATTTTAATGTTTCTATTTAAATGTCAATTTGAAGAATGTTCAAGACCAAAATTGACTGAGACTTCAATTTCATAAAAAAAAACACAGATGGTGCTGTACTTTGATTAATAACTTATTTGAAACATACATTATATTCAAAACTTAAATGCCAAACTGATGCAAGATTCGACAGAGGGGCTTTGCTTGACAGGGAAGCATGGTGCGTTTGGCCTGATAGAGGAAATCGAAGCCCGGCCTGTTGAGCAGAGAACAGCTATTGAAGCCAGAGCATCAACTCACCGGCTTCTTGAAGCCAAAGTATGCGCCCACGAAGGTAAGTGGGACAGAGATGCCGAACCACAGGCCCAGAACGGCCACCAGCGTGCCAAACGGGATAGCAGCAGACGAGCCCTCCACCCAGAGGATCAGATTCATTAAGAAGAAATCCGCAAACACAATGCTGTCAACACAAGAACATGGTGTTATTATTGACGAAATGGAGCAATGCTTAAAGGACCTGATTGTTATTCATTGTACAAAACGGTTAACATACCCAGGACACAGAAGTGCAGTCAAAAAAACACTGGTTTTCCATTTTTCACCACCAAAACCTGTGGACATAGTAAAGAAATATAAAAAAACAAACAGTGTAGCATGGATTATTACTGAACTATTATTCCATTTATCTTTTACATAATCACTATTGCAAATCATGCTATTAGACAACACCTTCCTTATTGTTGCTTTCTTTAGTCTAAGACGAAGTGGAAAGTGCAAAGTTTTAAGGACCTCTTAAAGAAATACTTCACAGCAAAGGTTTAACAAAACAGTGAGTAAAAGCTAGTTAGAACCAAAGGGCTCCTTTATAAGAATGCTGAATTGCCTGTGATTTTATATTTCTTATTAGCAACATTAGCACTAGCATTTCTCATTCTTTTTAAAGTACAGTGTCCTTACTCTTATAAAGTCTGGCTGATACATAACCAGCAGGCGTGCCTAGCAAGACCCACAGCACCACTGCACAAGTCATAAGCGCCCCTCTGTTTGCTGGAGAGAGGAATCCCAGGCAAGCCAAGACTGGGGGAAAAAAAGAAACACCTTTTATAGCATTTACTGGAAGTGAACTAGAAGCATGAGTCCAGAAGGACTTTTCAATGATTATAGAAGCAAAGCATTCAATTTTGAAGTTCTTCTTACAGAGTGTGATGAAGGTCATGATTAAGATTTGTGTGCCCTGCCCAAGAAATACAGACAGCAGCATGCCATTCTGCGGTGGCCTGAACACATCCCCATGTACCTGCTTCCATCCAGACTCCTCCTGTGCATCCTCCTGCAGATGACAACACATAACCACCAGAACTCCTTTTAAATAACAATTCTACCAAGTCTGACCATTCTCTATTACCAAAGGTTGCATACAAGAAACATAGTTGTCACAAATTAGCGTTATGCATAACACTGATTCATGACCACTAGCTTTTATTCACTGTTAAAGGGGAACTTAAAATTTTTTGCACAATTAAATTGTTGAGAGCCACACTGGTTTGATGCAAAATACTCCTCCATTCCAGAGAAACTTACCAAGCAAGAATTGTACCCAGTGGTGGTGATAGGAACCAGACATCTGAAGTGCTTAATGCCTCTACAAGCTACCTCACAGAAAGTTATTACATGAAATGTTTATAAACACATTCTGGTACAGTTTTGGGATTTTGGCCTAACATATTTTTTCAAATGAATTCACGGTGGACATGTACATGCAGGGTGTTGTAAGGCAAAACAGTACCCAGGAAAAACTTTACACACTGTCGCTGTCCAAACAAAACATCTCCATTTGTTTTACTTTTCTATATCATTCGAACACAGTATCAGTCTTTTACATTCTCTGAAAACTTCATAATGAAAGGATAAATAGAAATGCTCCAAAATCACTTGGACTAAAATCTCTTTTCATTAACTTACATTTAAAGTTAAGAACATTTTGCCTTCTCCTTTAAAATTACTATGTTGGAGACACTTGTTTTTTTTTTTTTTGTAGGACAGCCATGATATGAAAACTTACGTGCAACATAAGTATAGGTTTCTCTGGTCATTTTGGACAATAAACAAATTGTCTATATTTGTGCTATAGACATTGCAACCCCCGGTTCCTATCACTACCGCTGTAAAGCAATCTACATCAATATGTTTCGACTCAATTAACCACTTCACATCAAACCACTCTAAGGGGCCGGAAATATCAACAATTCAACTGTGCTGAAATTTTGAAAAATTAGTGGAAGTTAAGTATCCTGAACTATTCCTTTAACTCCCCATTTATATAAAAAGTATTGTTCAGATATGTCAGGGACAGACAACTCTCATTAGGGTTCCCACTTGCCAAGCAAAAGCAAGGTGAAACATTTGAAAAAGGATAAAATATGGTGTAGAAAATCATCATGAACATTTGCTGCAGAAACTAGTGCTTTTCTTCCATTTTCACCATGATTATTGTGAGCTTGGCATGATCAATACACCATGTTTTATCACAAAGAAAACTCCCAGAAATGAGGTTTTTAACAATCACCAAAAATCACCCCTGAGAAGATCTGCAAACAGAGCCTGGCAGAAGGCTTACATAAGCAACACCTGTTTGTGGATGGATCTTAACCATGTTTGCCTGTGAACGGCACAAATGAGATTTTCATTCTAGCAGTTTAATACACAATGAGAATACTGACAAAGCAAAGAAAATGTTAAACTGCCTTTTTTTCAACTTTCAAAGTATTTTATTACACTTGCAAAGGATGTTAACTGTTTAGAGAAGGAGCAACCATGATTACTTATCATAAATGTAAAATTCTGTCTAAATAATTAAACAACTGAACTGCATTACACCAGATGTTTAGCTTGATCAGAAAAAGGTGTGTCAACTGCAAGCTCTTTTTTAACAGTTCTGGTGTCAGCGCTGTAGCCTTAATAGAAAGTTGCTACAACCTCTATAACTATATGAATGTCTGTTACATATTAGACAATGAACGTTAATGTTAAACGGTCTCAGACTTTCTCACGAGTGAACATTGCCCTGAAACAATTCCTCAGAACTGCACAGAGTTCATTAGGATGTTTTTAATAAACACAGCTTTCTCCTCAGTGTCCCACAGAGAAACTGTTTTACATTGTGGCATTCATGCAAAGCACCAGTCTTCCACAGTAGCCCAGGGACTTTTCTCCCTCTACACATCTACATAGCCTACTACCACAACCTGCACTAACATAAAGCATGGGGTGTTCCAAAATAGCTCATTTTGTATTCAGATTTTGTTATGTAATCACATTTCATTAATTAGTAGAATTTCATGTAGAAACATTCACTAACATTTAGAAACTTTATGCTCATTCATGCTAGTGCAATGAGGTTTTAGCACCAAGTTAACAGCGATGTAACTTCCTAATAAAAATGGGAATCTGTCATAAAAATTCAGTGTGTCGCTACCTTACTGTCGTCCTACAGCATGCGAACTGCTCATGCCTGAATCAAGTTACACAAGCTACATTAATGCCTTCATGTTGCTTGTAGTCAGAATACAACATTTCAGATGTAATTAAAAAAGTTAAGATGTTAACTTCATAAAGCAGATTGTACCTGATCCACTTGGTTGTATCTTGCGATATCCTTGTGTAGTGTTCTCAGCATGATCATGGCCACCATGCCAGAGAGGAAGAGCACGATGACCAAAGAGTTCATAATGCTTTATAGAACACAATGGACAAAGCAATTATTTCGCATGTGGAGAGAGATAGAAATAGAGATAGAGAGATAGAGATAGAGAGAGATGGAGAGAGAGATAGAGAGAGAGATAGAGATAGAGAAAGAGAGAACAAGGACAACAACTGTACTCACCTAAACCACTGGATATTTGTATGAGGCATGGACACCAAAATGTAATCCCATCTTGAAGCCCACTTGATCAAATCTGTGGACTAATAAAAAAAAAATAGTCTGTCAATTCACAAAGAGCAAGCTCAGATCAGTGAAATCTGTATATGCCAATGTTTCTAAATGTCATATCAGTAAACTTGCCTCAAACATGACTGAATAAGAGTAGGTCAGGTTCAGATTACTACTGAATTCCCCTGGAATCTCCATGGGTGGGCCTTGACATGTCAGGCTGTTTTCAGCACTGTGTTTAACACTAGAAAAATACAACACAACATAAATCTTTTACACCGTTGATCTGTAGTATAATATACTGTTGTTATCATGAATGAAGCACAACTTTATTCTTTTGTAAATGAACAGATATTCTTCCCAACAGGCTGACTGTAGGGAAAGGGACAGGGCTAACCTCTTGGGCTCCAGTCTAGCGCTGACCAGCCGAGCACCATTCCAATTTTCATGTTCCCCGCTGTGGTAGGTTATTATGATATCCACATGGTTGAAGAGGTAGAATGTGTTTTTCTTGTTGAATTCAGACTTAAAGCAAAACAGACAGCATCATGAAGAAGCAAATTCAGACAAGACCTTACATGACTAAGGCTGTCCTACACAAAGAGGCTCTCTCTGACAATACATCTTATGCCTTTGATTCCTTTTTACACTGATTACCACTACAAGACCTTTTCTTGCCAGTTAATTTTGGTACTGCAAGCTGCAGTTAAAGAGTAAAAGGAAAGCCTACTTACATTGATGACACAGGCATCTTTAGGCCGTCCCTCAGTGGTTACTAAGCAACCAATTGGAAAGCCAGGGTTGCAGTACTTCTGATTATCCTCCACATCATAGCACCATGTTACAGGCATGTTGTCAACAATCCTGCAAATAATAAGTAATCACATTGCATACTGCTCAGTAAACCTTGCTGTCTTACAAAAGACAGGTGCTGGCAATGTTACGAGGCTAAAGTGGCCAAGCTGCATGATAATCTTTCCTGCTGCCTGGCTGTCAATACCTTGTAGCTCTCAATTTACGACAAAACAGCTTGAGCTCAAATAAACAAAAATTATTCACTGCTGCCCACTAAAGGTGTTACAGCAACCAATCTCCCTGCTTTTTTTTTAAACCCATGATGTGCACCAATAAATGTGTCTCCTGCTTTCTTTTATTTACATGTATTTGCCTCAATTCAGTGGATCAAAACGTCGCCTTCTGTTTGTTGTGAAGTAAACATATGATAGTGAAAGTAAACTACTGCAGAAAATAACTGTGGTCAGCTTAAATAATTGTGATCACCGCAAATAGCTGCAAACAGGCAGACATGTAATAACTGTGACAGACCTATTTACGAAATCTTTTTTGTCAAACAAATGTCATTTTTATCAAACAAATTGAAATCCACTCACCAGTGATGCTGGTAATTCAGCTGCATGCCTCTCTTGAGAAAGTCCAAATTGGCTTTATCTTCCGGTTTTGTTGTGTCGTAAGATTTGGTGCACACTTTTTGGCAAGTTTCATCTTTCCTAAATGTGAACTGAAAGAGAGGCACCATTACATTATATTTCAAATGTTATAAATGCTACAAAATTGTTAATAAAACAAAATGCTACCTATTTTTGTGCACTGTATCATGTGATGCTGAAATGAATGTAAGCCATTGAATTGAACACAAAACAGAAACAAAAAAAAAGCTAAGGAGATGGGATTAAACAACTGCTGTTTCCCAAAGTCATGCAAGACTTTTCAAAGAATGGAAAGAGCTTAGCAAGGTCACTGGCAACTGCTACCATTATTATCACCACCGCAGCATAGTTGCTTTGTGTGCAGTTACAAGTAGGGCTGGATATTGTTGAGAATTTTTTTTTATGTTCACTCCAATACCAATAGATTGACTTTGATATTGATTGCTGAATGATACTTTTTCCAACACCTTCTTTTAACCTACAAACAGAAAATGGGTGTGGCTTAAACCAGACATGAGTGTGAGGAGTTAGAATGGGCGTATTTACCGACTTCAAGTGACTGCAAACAAAACATAATTTAGACAGCCAATCAGCAGTCTAGATTTTGTAACAATCATGTTTATTGGCTCATGAATGCCAATAAGACTGACTACTTCGATCCTTCAATTTGGTACCTAACGACATGGAATATTTCAACAGTCCGTAGTATTAAAGTAATTCGGTAGATCCCATTAAAGTGTGAAATCAATAACTAGCCCTGGTTATAAAAACCAATACAGTGGCTACCTGGTGTTGTACAGTGGTTGTGAAAGTCACAGATCAAATTATCTATGTACCACTTTAACTATATGGACTGACAGTGAAAAGACTGCCCACTGTCAGCCATTAGTGTACAGAGTTTTAACCTGAAACTGGCTTCTATTAGTGAAACATCATCCTACCTTGTAGGGCGAGGTCTCAATTCTCTCTCCGAACAACACCTGGCCAAGGTTTTCTGATGGCCTCTTCTCCTCTGCATCTTGGCAAAAATCAAACCTGAAGTAACACATTCAGCCATGATCATGAGCAGCACCAGTCAGGAAAGCTGCTGAATAGTAAAATGTCAGGCAGACTTACACGTCATATTCATAGGGCAGGACGGATTCCACAGAGTCCAGTCGATTTACAAACAGCTGAATCCCACTCTGCAGAAGAAACAGAAAATGCTCAGGTATGTCACTTCTAACTATATAGCTCTGAAATGGGGTGATTTGGTGATGAGGCTTTTCTCTTCGCTACAGCGTCAGTCTAGCTGGCTGCTCAAGTCGATGGCAACCAGCTAGCTCACTAGCTACCTAAAACATGCTGGGTTCGCTTTTGGTCGCTTTTCGTGCAAGTACATCAGCTGTGCACATACGCTGTAAGAAAACGGCCATTTCTTGATGTCCTGTAATTTCTTTGTGGCCTTAATGTTTGTTCGCTAATACACCAAAATACACCACAGCTGACCTAGCAAGCTAACTCAGCTAGCTATGTAGCTGGAAATATACACCAGGAGGTGGGAATGCTGCCTAACGACAGCCTCTGCTAAATGTGCGATGTTCACCCTTTCTTCATGCAAACTTGCCGTAAAACAAAAAATAAACGTAGTAAATACAAAATTAAGACTTTACCTGACAGTCACCGGTTTTCTTGTCCTCTTCACAAAAACTAACCGGAGCTAAACCCGGAAGATAGAATCCGGAAACTGGGAGACAAATAATAAATAAACTGCAAATAAATCTAAACCATAAATCCAGAGGCTTCATTGTACTGGCAGATTGTGGATTTATTCGGCTTTAGACAGCCGTTCTTCTGGAGGTAAAGAAACTATCTACTCTGTAATAACACTGCTGTTAGCCAGTGATTCATGGAGACGATTTTTCCAGCAGCAGATTTCTCAGGGAATGTCGCTCAGCCGCTTCTCCCGCTGTAACCCAGCCCTCTGACAAGCGCGCGGGCGACAACATCCAACCACAGAGCTGCGCGAGCGTAGACCAACGACATCCGGAAGCGTATTTTCAAAATAAAAGATTCTAGCGCTCAACGCTCCTTAGTTAATGTTAATAAATATGCAAATTAATATTTCACCTTTTAAAAATATACAGTTAATTATAGTTATAAAACACTTTATGGTTTTACATCAAACAAGCGTCACTGCACACGTAGGAATATATCATACTATAGGCGTGACATGCCTTATAGCCATTCACAGTAATAAAGGATGATACAGTTTTTACTGCCTAGTGCTTAATTGTTGACACTGGGCCTCATTCACCAATACCCTCCTAATTTGTTTCTTAAATATGTTCTTGAGAAAGGTCCTAAGGAAAAATATATGTCAGTTTCATGGCGTGTTCGTAAACCAGAAGAAGCAGAACCAGCAGAATTGTTTGCACCTTTGTGCTCTTCAGTGAGTGTAGATTTTGTGCTTACCTAGGAACAAATCTCAAATCAGAAAACAGTGGTGAATGTCAGAATCTTCATGAAAACTGCCTAAGTGGGTTTTAAGAAGAAATTTCGGCCTAAGAACGTTTGATTAATGAGGCCTGTTATGTCAACATAAACCCAGAGTCAAAAGAAATCACCAGACCCTCCTCTGTCTGAAAACATGAGGTGCATTCCAATCGCCCCCTTAGTTCCCTGCACAGGGTACTTAGATGTTTTAAGGGTGATTCCAAATCATAGCAAGTGAAAAAGTTGTGTTGGAAGGGAACTTTAAACTGCACAGGGAACAGTGATCATCGGTTTATCACTTTGCAGGAAGCTGAAGGAAACTTTACCCATCAGTCATTGCAGATCTATTGAAGATGAGTGTTCGATCATGACGCTGCAAGACGTTCCGAATGAAGGTATTTGTCAACTGTGGTTCCCTTAACCGAGATCCAGAGCTCAAGTTTGTAGGGAACATAACACAGTACTGCATAGGGACCGTGTGGAATGGGTACGGAGTTTTATACCAAACATCACCGAACGTGTAGGAGTCTCTCACACTATGAGCATGACATGCCTTATAACCTGTTGCATTCACATTAATAAAGGATGGACACAGTTTTAACTGCCTAGTGCCTAAACAATACATTGTGTCAACACAGAGCCCGTTTAGGGAATTTAACAGTTTCTCCCGATAAATCAAAAACATAACCGCAATACGCCAGAGGGCACCCGCGAGCGAGTCCTCAATGAACGGGAGGAATGGTATTAAATGGCTAAAAACGAAAAGTTAAAATAATTACTCACTATTTGTCCAGGACTTTCCTTTAGTTTTGAAAAGTAGGATGATGTATTTTACTAAAAAAGCAAAGAAAACTTACCTATAAATTGCCTTTTTCTTGGCTGTAGGGCGCTAGCATTACTTTTACTGAGTGCTGATTGGTTGGCGAACTGATGAGCTCATGTGAAGGTTCGCGCTTACTGACATCATGATTGCAGCTTCGTCTTCACTGGGCTGTACTGACAGCTGCAAACTACATGTTGTTCCTCAAAGACATTCAGAACAAAACACTAACTAAAATACGCACACGTTCTTTGACTTTGCTAAAGAATGGCAATGACTGACACTTCTATTCCATAACCAGAAATTTCAGTCATGATAATGAAACACATTGGTCACATGAAAAATGAGGTGGATAAAAATGTTTAAGCATTTATAAACTATTGTTTTCCTCAAATGCTCCATATTAACACATTCATTTTGGACTCCTTTGGGATCGCCCTCTAGTGTTTGACAAAACAAGAAGACGTTACTGAGTGGCAATTCTCCTGTCTACAAATTCTTCTCTCTTCAAGTTCTCTGATTTAACTTCTTACAGATACCAAGCACCACATACCAGTTCAGATTCTTGTTTTGCGTAATGTGAGTAAATAAGGCTATCAAAAACATACATTTGAAAGCCTTTACATTAGTACATTAGTGTCCAATTTATCCTTAAAGGGCCGGTGTGGCTGCAGGTTTTCATTTCGAACAAGGAGGAGCACATTACTTGTTTAATTCTCAGTTAAAAGACTTCAGACTTCAAATTGCACACGTGTGCTCCTGCTCTCTTGGAAGGAAAACCTGCAGCCACACCTACCCTTTGAGGATAAGACTGGACACCCCTGCACTGGCACAAAATAAACTACCACATTAAATGACTGTTAGGATCGCAGTGACATAAAAGTAGATCATATCCTACATTTTTAATTTGCTGAAATCATTTTTCCTCCAACGTTCTTCAGCATCAAAGACACATCTGGTTTGTAAAAAGATATTATATATAATATAATATATTCAGTGTACTGCCTTAAGAAAATCAATAGCATTGATATATTCATGTGAGGATTGATTCTCAAAGAGAAATGTCATTAGCAATATTCACTATCATTTTGCTCACACTTAGCTGGTGGTGGGTCTTTTCATCACTGTTATCATTGTTCCTTCACACTGCATTATAATCAGGAATCCAAAAACAGATGTTTATCTGAGGTATAGCACATAGCCATTGATTCCATTTTATGTGTGTTTAACTATTCACAAAAGTGATATATAATTACTTTACTTTAAATATTTCTGTTTCCTATGGCCAATTTTATCAGTTGAACTGAAATTCTGTGGCAGCTCACAGTTCAGAACTGTTTTGTTGGTTGTTTTATATATATATATATATATATATATATATATATATATATATATATATATATATATATATATATATATAGCTGCTGTTGGAACAAAACCTTCATTTTTGTTGTTTTAGATATAATTTGAAAATACCTGTTGCCCTTTACATTGTGCAGCCCAAAATAACTTGGAAAAAATTCTGGTTCCTTTGACTTACATTAAAAGTAGAGTATGTTTTTTTTCCCTTCTGTGAAGTAATAGTTCTCCATTGAACACTAATGTAATTGACCATCAAATGCAAATTATATTTTTACTACTAAATTTGAAAATACCATAACAGTAATACCGAAAATTAATTACTAATTGATTCCCATTTTAGTAAAAAAAAATATATATACTAATACTACTTTAAAAAACAACACCTAATACCTTCAATGAAAGATAAACTGGATATGCAACACTAGCTAATTCTGTCCGTTCTCACTTCTCCTGGGCACTTCCACTTGGGAAAGTCCATGTTGCAGGTAAGAAACTCTTTCGACGTGAGTTCAGTAATATTTAATGATCAAATCATGCTTTCTTTAAAGAGCGCATTCTAAATTTTAAAGAGCTAATTTGGAGATTTTGCCTTCATTGATTATTTACAAGCGTGAACTACAGCTATGGCAGTTATCGAAAGACTGGCAAAACTACAAGCTTTACCCCCTTGCAGCAGTGGTCTTTCTTGAGTGGAAGTGGCTACGAGAAGCGAGTAAGTGGTTCCTCCCCAACGTTACGACTTCCTGGGCGGACCAGCCGACTGATAAAAACGAGGGTGCGACTTTTTTTGGGTTATCTTGTTGCACGTCGGACATATTCAGGTGAGTGGGTAGCACGCTGGCCCGCATAAGCGCGGTTTGTTCACTTCTTTAGATTCAGTATTTTATCACAGCAAGACGTTCTGAAAATGTAATTTGACATTTAATCCGCCGGTTGTGTATCGGGGTGTAGATGTTTACTGCTGGTAGCTACTAGCAAAATGAGTGCTGTGCTAGCGCCGTTTGCAGGCATCGTGAGGAGCTAATTTAGCAACATATCCGAAAGAATAAAGAAGCAACTTATTAGTATGAGAATGAACCTATCGAAATAATGACTTTAGTTAAACGTTACTTCAGTTTTAGACCGTCTCTACATGTGATGAGGGTTATGTCGACGTGCTAGTTAGCTAACCTAGCTAGCTGGCTAGGTGAGGGGGTTGTGCACGGTGGAGGCCGTGGCCCCTAAAAAGACTCGCACTTGACAAGCTCTTGCCGCCATTTTGTGATTCACGTTAGCCAGGCAACCGACAGTAGCTGTGCTATTGATTTTCGGCGAAATAATTTCGTTCTAATTTAACGGTAGTGAACTGGCCAATCTAATGTCAGTTAGTTTATATGGGTGGAAGAGTCTAACGACGGTAGTTTGTGTAGTAAAATTATCTACTGTAAGAGAACTGACTCCAGCGCCGGCTAATTTCACTGACTAAGCAGATGTAGCTGTCGCGTCTGTAGCTTTCGCTTTATTTTTTTTTCTTGCTCTGTCAGTCAAACAAAAAAATGTTATTTGCAAAAATAAGTCGAACCGTTTTTCACCTGACCAGGGTTAGGATTACACGCTGTGTAAAGTGTCCAGACTTGTAAAATATGCATAGCTAAGCGCTAAAGTCTGATATGAAGGCATATTAGCATGTGCCTCATCCCGCTTAGCTTCACATGTTCAATCAGATTCTGCGTCAGTCAGGCTAATCAGAAAGCTCACTGTTAAGCTAGACTGTTGCAGTCCATATGAAAATGGATTATACTGCAAAACCGTAGTGTCGAGTAGTGGATTCACCAGCCACCTCCTTTATGTATGTCATTCAGTGATGGAGAGAAAGAGACATTAAACTGCAGTGCTGTTTCCAGACGATGAGCAAGGTGTTTGGTAATGGAGTAATCATAATTATTGTTGCAAATGCAGTACAGGTTTTGATGATGGCCATATGCAAGCCATGATTCTGTAGACTGAAGGCTAGAAGCCTTGCTGTATCTTGGAGAGCTGTGGTAGTCAGCATAGAAACAGATCATGATGCATGAACTGGACAAGCATTCTTTTAAACACAGCTACATGCACACATTATTGGGCTTGGAACCTAACAAAATGCTTGTTTCTCGATTGCAGTTATTAAAGACAAACATGGCAGAGGCAGACCGACCAGGGAAGCTGTTCATAGGTGGCCTGAACACTGAAACTACTGAAAAAGCTCTTGAAGGCTATTTCAGCAAGTTTGGCCGCATATCTGAAGGTGAAAACAAACAAACAAAGGTCTTCTAATAGGAACGGATTGGGGAAAAAACCTGTAAACATTCTGCTGAGACATTAAGTGATTAACTAGTAGTTAATAGTTTGTTATAGTTGCACAAATCAGAGGAAGTATCTTATTCCTAGGTAACACACAATTTAACCTCTAAACATGTTTGTGGTAGCCAACATTATTACCACACTTGCTGTACCTAGCAGTTTTTTTTCCGTTTTTCATTCAAAGTGTGGCATCATTTAAAACAATCACCTGAATGCCTTTGCCCAGCTTGCACATCTTTCTGCTCTAAACTGTGTTAACACGCTTTGCTAACCAAATATGCAAATTGTTACCAGCACAGGGTAAAATTAGTGACTGAGTTTCAATATGTGACACACAACTATGCAGAATTTAGTATATACAGGGACTGCTGTCGAAACCTGACTGTATAGCAAACAGTGAGAAAAGAGGAAGTAGTCACAAGCTTGACTGGGGGAAAGCACACAAAACTGCTTCAAACAATGGACATTAATGGAATTCTTCCTTTTAGTTGGTCCTGCATTTTAATTATGTGAGAAAACCGAAAACTCTTTAGCACAACACGTAAAGGTTGAGCATGCAACAGGTGATCTTGCTGATGAAGCATGTTGGCATGCAAGAATGAGGGAACAAAAAAGGAACCTGTAAATGAAATTCTTTAAAGTTGGTATTTTTTTTCTTCCTGTGAATATAGTCTTTAGTTTTTCATTTAATATTGAGCTTCTAGTCCAGTAGTTATCTTGCAAGCTATGAAGAAAATTTTGGACTTGATCAACACTAAAATGAAAAGTTCAATTAGTTCCTCTAAGAAGTTCTGAGCTTGCATATGTGCAGTTGATATCACTAGTGCTGGAATTGAAAGGATGTGTTCTAACACGTGCTTGCTTTCTTTATGTAGTTCTGTTGATGAAAGATCGTGAAACAAACAAATCCAGGGGCTTTGCTTTTGTCACTTATGAAAATCCTGGTGATGCGAAAGATGCTGCGAGGGAAATGAATGGAAAGGTAAGTAGGTAATTAAAACTGTGGTTGTAAGCTGTGATGACACTTTGTGGCATTGATCTGTTGGAAATGACTGTCCACAATCGTCCTCTAAGAAGTTCTGAGCTTACTTACGTTCACAGTCTACTTAGATTTTTACTTTTTGATTTGGAAAGGTTAAAGGTAACCTGTTTTTGTTGCTTTTCCAAGGCCCTGGATGGTAAACCCATCAAAGTAGAGCAGGCCACAAAGCCTCAGTTTGAATCATCAGGCCGCCGTGGCCCACCATCAATGCACCCACGCAGTCGTGGCCCTCCCCGAGGCCCACGAGGCTCCAGAGGTGCACCTAGTGGAATGCGGGGACCACCAAGCAGAGGTATGATTCCAGAGTCTTTTTTTTTTTCCTTAATTTGTGGGCTATGATGACATTCTTTCAACTGATCTCCAAGTTGATGTTCAGTTCTCTAAGAAGTTCTGAGCCTACATTTACGTCTCTGCCAAAAGACTACTGTGATAACGTAGATATTGTAGAACCTTTCTTTAAAGGGATGTCCTCCAGAGGCCCACCTCCTCTGAAAAGGGGACCGCCAGTGCGTAACGGAGGGCCGCCACCAAAAAGATCAGCACCCTCCGGGCCAATGGGCAGACGTAAGCAAGCTTTGATTTACACTGTTCGCTTATATTCAAAGCTCAATAAATAAAACTCATAACTTTATAACTTCTCACTGTTATTTTGCAGCCCCAATGTCAAGGGACCGGGATCCTTATGGTCCTCCTCCTCCCCGCAGAGAATCACTTATGTCAAGGAGGGATGACTATCCATCACCACGCGATGACCATTACAATACCAAAGACAGGTAAGTCATGTAGTGATGCGAAATGAGTTGCAGTTAAATGGTCTTCTGTTTTCTTGAGTGCCTGACTGTTTATGCTGTACAGCTATTCCAGCCGGGACTACATAAGCTCGAGAGACAGCAGGGACTATGCCCCTCCACCACGTGACTATTCCTACCGCGAGTATCCATCCCAGTCCAGTTCCAGAGATGATTATGGTTCAGCGTCTAGAGGCTACAGGTATGTTATAAATAAAGGACGCGCGCATGTGTAAAAATGTTATTTGTGTGATATGTTCTCACATTGTTATCCCACCTCCCTCCCCGTTTCTCTGTTCATAGTGATCGTGATGGTTATGGAGGAGGTCGAGAACCCAGGGGCTATATGGAGCGGCCAAGTGCAGGCTCCTATAGAGACCCCTATGACGGTTACGGTAAGAGTACTTCATTAGTTTTTAGAAAAGGGTTTAGGGTTTCTCCCACAATTGCGTTTTGTGCTCCTGGGACAAGGCCACCTCATGTCAATCCAAATAAATCAGTGGAAACTTCACAGCTTCCTTTCAACTCAAATGTTCCACAGTATCAAAATCGCACTCAACACGGACTCCCTGGCAAGCTTTTTCTCCCTCTTTGAGTCTTTCCGATAGTCCTGTTCAAATCAAACAAGAGAAACCAAGTGCCCAATCTACAATCTATCCTCTGGAACTCAAATCTTAAGGAAAAAAGTTGCTCTCGTTGCACCATTGTCATCATTATCAAGTAGTTATGTTTGAATAAAGCAGCACTTCGTACCCCAGAGATCCAAATTCAATCTTGACTGATACAATGCACATTTGGAACGTTAACAGCCCTGAAATGCAAACGTTTAAAACAGGAGTGAGGAATATATGTAGGAAAGTGGGCACTTGACAAACGCAGTGACTTGCACAAAATATGTCTGTGAATTTTGCCAATTACATGACCCATTGACCCTGCAGGTAATTCGCGCAGTGCCCCACCCTCAAGGGGTCCCCCTCCATCCTACAGTGGGAGTGGCGGAAGCAGTCGCTATGACGACTATGGCAGCAGTTCCCGGGATGGATATGGCAGTCGCGACAGTTATCCCAGCAGTCGGAGTGACCCATACTCCGCTAGCCGTGGTGAGCGACTGGGCAGGCAAGAGCGGGGCCCGGCCCCTCCACTAGAGAGAGGCTACCCTCCTCGTGAATACAGCAGCTCAAGTCGTGGCGCGCCTCGGGGTGGCGGCCGCGGAGGCAGTCGGGCAGATAGAGGAATGGCCCGCAGTCGATACTGAAATGGACTCAGTGTGACAAAAGGGTCAGCTTACATTGTGGGGCATTCTACATGTGCAGAGAAAATGGAGAGTCAATTTTTAACCTCTATATGGACTTCAAGCTTCAGTTTCAAGCTGTACCCAGACTTGTGAAGTTTTTTTCCTTTTTAAATGTAACAATTTCTTTCTTTTTTTTTTTCTGCCCGTCTCCCATTTAATGGTACTGTTGCCAATTTAAGTGATGAGTGTTAGTTTTTGTATCCTAGTGATGTTAAACCTGCAATGCCCAAAAGTATGGTTTTCATTTACCAATAAAATTTTTAATCCAAGAGCTTGCGCAACACTGCTGTTCAAAGAGGACCACGGAACCATTGAAACTTGTCAGCTCAGAGCCTCAGACCTTCATGGTGAGGGGAAACACAAAGTTTATCCAGTTTAGATTGTGGAAAATATTCTTGTTGACATTGTTCAGTCTGTTGAGAACAAGAGAAATGTCACTTTGCCAAACTCTTTATCAGTATAGTTTTTCTCAGTGCAAACGGATCCCTCATCGTAAAGTAAACTTTGACGGCTTGCAACGACCAATCCAAAGACAAGCAAAATGCAAGAAACAATTCAACACGAGATTAAACGTGTCAACAGCTGGTAAGCAAAGCAAACCCTTTTGTCTCTGGTCTAAGTGAAGTTAACTCGATGATATGAGTTTCAGTCTCAACTACAGGTTAAACATCATTCTTGCCTCTTCTGACCTTACAAATGCTATGCTGCAATCTAACACCGTACAGTTATATCATACTTGAACAACTTTAACACAAAAATCAACCCTGCAACCAAAGGAGTCTGTATAATCTTACAAACCCAGTGGAGTTCATTGAGTTAAAAGGCCCATAGTTTCAGGAACGAAACTAAAAATTGCACATTCTCAAGGAGAAAGATAAGTTGATGGATTTGCCACCTCTCCAACATCAAATCAAAAGACAAATGGCTCTTTGAGGATATTAAGATGAAACCTTCCACCAAAGGACTATTTCCTCAATGTAGTGTAAGTCCCCCTAATTACAAATCCAGACCATTATTTCAGTGGACCTATATTGAACATGTAGAAAGTTGCCTTAGGTTTTAACAAAAGCCAGAGCCACTCACAAGCATGCCCATCCTAACAAAGGAGACAACTTGGAAAGACCCAGTTCTATCATTCAGCCTGGAAAGTAACTGGAAGCTCAATAAAATTGGACCTTTGATTCTTTTGAGAAACTTGTTTATTCATAATTACCATTTCATTGCTATAGCAGGATATTAATTGGATTTTTTTCTTGTTGCAGGATGAACATGATGGGAATGTGAATGATGGGATCATAGCTGCTTTAAAGCTCATGGGCATTTGTTGTTTTTTGGCCATGTGCAGTGCATTCTGCTTCAAGAAGGTATGCCCAGCCCCACAGAAGTACACAGATGCTGCATAGAATTTGGGTGGTCTCTTATTTCTTTTTCCTTTTATCTTATTTCCTAGATTGAGCGCAAGGCTGACCAGGTTGGAGTCCTGTAGATGGAGCTGAACCCACATGTGGAGTGATGTTTGATGCATTGCATGTAAATAAATATTTAAAATGATCTGACCTCTTGTGCAGTTATTTGTCTCCCTCCACTGACTGAAAAGAATGAATGTTTAATGTGAAATCTGTTGCTCACTAGTAGTCTGTAACGTAAAGGAAGCTCTAGGCAACGTGCTGAAACCTACATGTTCTCATATTACACACATGGATCAGGTGTCTAGTGTGGAGCAGGCTTCACAAGAAAAATAACGCTTCATTAAGTGGAATCAATACATGAAAACCGTTAGATGGTACAACGTCCTCGTCCTGGAGGACTTCCCTGCAGCGTCGCGGAGTCGGCTCGCTACTGGTTTTAACGCTGTTCCGCAAAGCAGAAGTGCTACGGATGTGGGTAGCATCTGTCCCGTCCTACTCGCAGCACCAGCGGTGCTGCAGAACTCGGCGAGGCCCGGTGATCCCGAGCTATGAACCCAGAGGAGCAGACCGTAACGTGGCTCATATCCTTAGGAGTTCTTAATTCCCCGAAGAAGAACATCGCCGATCCGGAGGGCTTCCTGAAAGCCTCGCTGAGAGATGGGGTCGTTTTGTGTAAGCTTATGGAACGGCTGGTACCCGGATCCGTTCAGAAGGTAACGCAATATGCCAAAGAAACTTGATCTGGAAGGTAAAGGAGGGCAGATGGCTGCTTTTGATTGCAGACAGACACAATAAGGACTCGCAGCAAAGCGGGAGAGCGATGCTTTTGAAGTCGAGCAGAACGATTAGCTACATTCAGCCTCCAGTGTTTCACAAGAGCCAAATTAAAGATAGTTAACAGATTAAGTAAAATACGGGCTGCAGTTTGACTTCACTGATTAACACTTTATCTCTCCAAAACGCTCGGTTTAATCGCGATGTAAACTCGGACTTCCTGTCTCAGGAGGGAAAAGTGTTCCGCATTCTCTAACTGGCGTTTTTCGTGCCATGTTTTATCTACAATCACAATACAACAGCTAAAGCATGCTCTGCCTCACAGCGCGATTTAATCAATAATGTGCACTTAAAGGCCCGGTGTGAACTATTTTCAGTTGTAGACTCTGGTGCCTACTTCTTATCGAGTTTTGATACATCTGTTCAGCCTAATCCGGAGAACTTTATTTATCCCCCAAAGGGTTATTTGGTTTAACTAGGCCCATTTTTTTCGTGAGTTCTGTAGGTTTACCAGTCCCCCTCTACCCCTAAACTGCTGCTAAACCGTCCTGAAGGCAGCCCACAGGTCACAGAGTCAGGGCATACATACAAGCAGGTTTAACGTCCCACTGAAGTACATGCAGCACCTGAGATGAGCTGAACATTCACAGAGACTGTAGCTGTTTAGTGAGGACTAGTGAGGTCGCTTTCACACGTCCTAACAGGACATTTTCCAGCAGACACAGCCTGTTTTGTCCAGGTTTCATATGTCCATGCTTGTGAGGTCTAGACCGAGCCCGAGGACATCGTCACTTCCTCCACAAAGTCTCTTTTCCTGGTTCGACAGGGCAGCAAGAGATGTGCTGTTTGAGACGAGAAAGGAGAATCCTTAATTACTTCACCGACTGAGCTCGAAAGAAGCCCTTTTTCTGTACTAATGGATGCAGCAGTCCAACAGGGACAGCCCGTTTCAGCGATAAACACACAGTCCTTTCCCTGAGGGATCTCCGGCTATTCTGAGTGCTGAGTTGTAGTAGTAGCAGCAGCAGCAGCCTGAGCTTTTCAGCAACGTTATTTTGGGATATTTTTTATTTACCTTTTCCATCTCTGGCTGTTCACAGTATTGCCCGGAACCCAAATGCGAAGCGGACTGTATAGCCAACATTCGAGAGTTTCTGAAAGGATGTCTCTCCTTAAAGGTTGAGGTAAGTTGACATTACACCGTGTTAATGTTACGACCATGACACTTTGTCCATACCTTCTTCTTCTGCATGTTGCGCTATCCATAACGTTGCATTTCTTGGCTGAGGGAGACTCAGGGCTCTGTTCCTGGTATTCACATCAATAAACTACGCATATGCTAACATACACGATATTAATTCTGACATGAAGTGAAATGATTTAACTGCCTAAAATAAAACCTTATATATAAACTGCACCGCATGTGCCAATGGTTTACACTACTAGTGCTAAAGCTAGTAAAAGTTGCAGTGCTTCTCTGTTTAAAGTGGAACGCCACCGTTTTTTCCACGTTTCTGCATGATTAAATGCTGAGCATGTCAAAGTCATTCAGAGTGGTTTGGTGTGAAATGCTTCTTTCTAGAGAAACATACCGAGGCAGAATTGTTTACAGTGATGGTAATAGGAACCAGACGTCCACCTCTAAAAGCTCCCTCACAGAGTTATTATATGAAACGGATATAAGTACACTGCCTGATGTAGAAACATTGTTTTACAGTAGTTTTGTGATTAAAAAAAAAGTTGATCTGAAATGTATTTTCATCCATTTATTTTAATCCATTCATGGTGGAAGGATACAATAGTCCCCAAAGAAAACATATTGTTTCAGATTTCCCATTATTTTACCATCATCAACATTTCATCATCAGCAAAACTCAGAGGACACACGTGGATTCACTGGTGGTTGGATAGTAAATAAAATGGGTATGTTTGAATTATAGATATCTGGAACCCTGGTTCCTATCAGCACCACTGTAAAGAAATCTGAGACGGCAAATTTCTCTACAAATGAATCATTTCACGTCAAATCACTCTAAATGACTCTGTTTATATTTCAACCACTGAATTATGCAGAAATTTTGAGAAGTCTGTGAAATTTCCCTTTAAGCCAGTGTCACCAAGAACCAGACCTAGTGTCATAGTGTTTTCAGTTGCCATCTTAATCTGTTGCATTTATTTATCAAGATGGGTTATCAAAGTTACTCAGTATCTTGGATACAGTAAGGTTATGTGCTCCAGGAATCAGGGACTGTGATGTCTACAACACAAATATAGACATTTAATTCGCTATCTAAAATGACCAGTGAACCTACATAAGTTTTATATGTAATGCTGATCATTCTAAGACAGTGGTAAATCTGTAACAATCATCCCAGGCATCAGACAGTGTATTTGTAACTATTTCATCTAAAAACTTTCTGTGAGATAACATTTTTCGAGGCTTTAAAAGCTTTGGGCGCCTGGTTCCTATTACAACCGCTGTGAACCATTCTGACTGAGTATGTTTCTCTAGAATAAAGCATTTTATGTCACAATGCTCTGAATTACTTAGTTTACGTCTTAGTGATTGATGCAGAAATTTTGAAAAACTGGTTGAATTCCCCTTTATGTCTGTCTGTAGCCGTACATCTTATTCTATGTTAGCTTTCATGTTTGGAATTTGCTGCTCAAATCTTAAAAGAGACAGAATGGTATTGCCACTAAAATGAGTAGATTATGGAAACTGAATTTAGGCCAATAGCATTTACAGTAGAGTGAATCCATGGAATAAAAACAGGGAAGAAACATAACAGCACTAAATTCTGCTTGGCTACCTTTTTTGGTTGTTTAATTTGCTAGAAGAACATGGATCACTTGTGTTTGTGGCATGTTGTCCCCTCCCCAAAATGGGAGGACTGTTTCCAGTGTAATGGAGCAACATGTCCAGGCAACATTATCACCTGATAATCATGGCTGAGACTAGCAATGGCATGCTGCGTTTTCAAGAAAATGTGTTATAGCAGCATGTGCGCTATGACATTTGTAGCAATATATTCAACTTCTCTTTATGGGCATTTGCAATCTCTGTGAAGGGGAATTTCCCCTTCCTTGCAGTCTGTACTGTCAGCTGTGTTCTAGCAGACATCCAAAACACTGTACTCTTACAAAATAGATGTAGCAAAATTGTGTGGCAAGCTCTGTACTGGGCTTAACCCACCAGTTTTAGTTTGAAACAGCAAGAATCTAAACCTAATCTAACAGTAACATGTTTAGAACCATTATTGGAATAAACCTCACGAAGACTATGGGTAACAGTCAGTTGCCTGAAAAATGTATATATAGCATCTTTTTGTAAAGTGGGTCGTGAATCACCCAAGTTTAAGAGGCAATTGAATAAAGCCAGCATGCAGTAAAGTGGTCAAGATTAAATGTTTGCCTTTTCGGGGGATGTCCCTTTCCCTTTTTCAGTTGATTCCAATGCCTCCCCCATAATTAGTGGTGATGCTGTAATGCAGCTGTAAGGAGATGGGCCGTGTATTTTAATGTGGACCATATGATGGCCTGTGGACATCCGGGCCCTGCCCATGCTCTCTGGCGAAGAGGTCTGTCACCCTCCGCTCAGGCCTAGAAGTGTTCATGGATGTTGCAAATCATGTGACTGGACAGAGAGGCCACTCGCACAACTTTCACTTCTGCTTTTGGAGAAGTGCTCAAATGGGAAGCAAAATAGCTGCAAGCCCAAGTTATTCTTGCTTTGCATTAGGTGAAAAAGTTTTACATTTAATTAATTTATTACTTAATTGACGCAGTGAGAGGATCTGTATGCCTCTTTTTCATAGAAGACCCCACTGAATAGGCAACTATTTAAAGATAACCCAATATTCAACCACAGCAGTAAAACAATGAAACAACAAGCATCACATAAATTAATAAACATAAATTTATATGTTTTATTTGATAGATCAGGACTACAGCATTCGGAAATGCAAGTCTTCACTCAACATGTACATCTGTAAAAACAATTAACGACCATCTGTGACCACTTTAAATCTTCTAAGGGCACAAAATGACCCATTTTTACAGGCCCCTGAAAGTCGTTCTGTGACTTTTGCAGCCAAATGATTAAAGCCCATCCTCCTAAATCCAGCCCTGACCCTAGACACTTGGTAAATAATCATAGACTGTAACCTGAGGTTATATCAGCAGCAGCTTACTGGAGACAGGGTAGAGAAATAAAGAGGGCATTTACTGCCTTTTAGTTTAAAGTATAGTTTAAAATATACCATATTTAGTATAGATTTTGACAGGGAGGGCTGACAAAGCAAGCAGTGATGAATAAAAGGTTTTCAACCAGTCAGAAACCTCAAAACCCCAATTTTATTACAGATCTAAAAACTATAAACACAAGTGTTTATGTAGATAACGTCTGCGAAATCCAGGAAAGGGAGGAAAGTCATTTTTCTAGCAGGAGAAACATTCATGGAAGATTAACGGGAGAAAGATAAACATAATCTCTGCATGTAGAAGATCACATCTTTGTTTTCGTTTATTTTCCCCAAGCTTAATATGGATTTGGAAGCTTAGATAAGGCTGTGGTGGTTATAACGCCAAACATGTTGTAACACAAGTTCGTTAGGGAGATTACAGGTTTAAATCTAACAGATTGCGCGGGATCGATTGGATCTATAAAGTTATACGAAGGGACAGATGCAGAGATGCACAGATAAAGAATGAGTGTGAAATATATTGCACGCTGTAAATCAACTCAGCCTGTGTTACGCACATGCATTGGTTTTTAAAACAACTTGCATTATGAAGGAAATGCAAATACATGACAGTTTGAATAGCAATAGAAACACAAAAATGTTGCTTAATTCTTCAACTTGTCTGGTCCACAGCTGTTAGACAGAGGCTTCTTGCTTTGCAAACTCTATATTTAAGATGTTTTATTTAAATGTGAAACCTTACTCTTTGGAGGAAAGAAGATAGCAGTCTGTGCACTGTGGGGGAGTGAATGACTAACATGAAGAGAACAATCATTACAGTCTCTCTCTTACCTATCTGCTCTTTGAAGCTCTTCTTGATTACACAGAGTCACCAGATTATTGCCAGGCAATAATATATCGATATATTATATATCATATATAGACATTAACAAACCATCATATTGCTTTTTTTGTGTTAGCACAGTTTTTAGCCAATAGATAATGAGCATTATATGCATGATGTCCATTAAACAGCAGTGTCCCTGTGGTCTGTTTTTAGCTTTTTAATTTGTTTTTGTGTGCTTTTGTCATGGTGTCCATGAACTGACAGTACACCGTATGTTATTTACTACTTGCTTCAGATAGTTTTAAATGAATCTTAAAATCCTTAAAAAACAGTAGGTTTACTTTATGCAAATGTAATTCACAGTACTATGTAAGGCCTGTTTCACACATCTTGCCTTTGCACACTTTCACACATGCTGCACAAACAGCATGCTGCAACTAGAGGACAGACGCTGAGCCTATTTTTACACATGTAAAATACAGTGAAATAGACAGTGAAAATCAATGAATACAGAACAGAAACTTTAAAAAACAGGAATTCTATATCAGTTATCAAACGAAATACTAGGTAAATATTTAGTGGTGAGTATAGTCATATGCGAAAGTTTAAACAAACCTTGATTTTCTAAGTGGACGTAAGTTAACCTGTCTTCTACTTAGACATGCTTAAATAAGGTATACTGGAAAAAAGTGAAATATGAAATGTGCCATAACTTTTGTAGAGGCCATATTTAACAGGGTTGTTTTGTGTGTGCTGAATTCAGCAAATAAATAGTAATTGTGCAGTAATATGCAGCAGTGTGTTCTCCGTACTTTATTTTAAATTAGAAAAATCAACAAAGACTTGTAATTTTTTTTTTCACCCAAACTTTTACATATGACTGTATATGTTTATATGTGTACTAAGCTTGATATGATTGTTCAGTCACATGTCAGAAAGCTTCAGATGAAAAACAAATATATCGCACTCTTTTCCATTTTATATATTTAGCAAGCAAATGTGTTGATGTTGTTAGAAGCTTGCTGTACCATTCCACAGCATAAGCACTATGTCTTTGAATAGCGAATGACCAAAGCATGCAAGCTATAGCAATCATGCTGCAACATTGCTCATGTCATTCAGAGGTAGTTTGTAGGAAACAGGCCCAAGACATTCTAGAGTAGCAGCACAAAGGGAGCATTAACTTTATTAACAAAATAAATCCGAGACCACCTGATACTCTGTTGTATTACAAAAAATGATACTGAATTTTGAATATTGTCCAGCACTGAGCACATGCACCTGTACTCATTGGCTATTTTATGAGGTACGACTACCGTGGATGCACTTTTGTAGGTTTGCAGTTGCTGACTGAAGCCTAAGGATTCTGTGCGCAGTTATTGTGGTCCTGTTCCAGTAGGAAAGCACATGGGTACTCGAGTATTCAGTTAACTGTTGAAAGTACCAGTATTCAAATACCAGCCTCTGTTACTCACCCGACACCTCAGCTGTTTATGATTAATAAAACGTTACGCTGCATGCTGCTGTCTTTTTGTGCAACACCAGTGCTGTCAACCTAAAAAGGTAAGCCTGCAGCCCTATGTTATTTTTGGCCAATGTCGGCTTTTTATTCGTGTTTTTGTTTTCCTTTTTTTGCCGTTGTTTTTCCTTCTGTGTGGTTAACTGGATATCCTTTCATTAATTCTTATGGATATTCTAATTTCAAAATTAGTCAGAATGTCAGAACATCTCTACTTTCAGGTCATGGCCAAGGTAGACCGCACAACAACAGATGGGCTACAGTTAATGTGTTCTTTTATTGCATCTATTGCAAGGTTTGACAAGCTTTTCAGACCATCATCATTTCAAATCTTTCTAGTTTCAGTTAGTTACAACAAGTCTAGCAGGAATAGTGTTGTAAACTAGTAAAGCTGTATTTTGTTAAATGTTAAATTTTCTGATATTTCCCATTATGCTCAACAGGATTTTTGCTTGTATTTGCAAAGCTTGTCCAACCTCACAAAAAATCACAGTGAAAATGCTTTTATGAACAAGGCTTGGATAGGTCAGTTGCATAATAAAGTAGCAAATCGGTGTGTATTTACTTGCATATTTATGCTTGACTGACAGTGCAGACTGTCTGCCTTCCAGTGCAGTTCTCTTTATTCTGTTCATCAGCATAAACATACAGTGTATGTCTCCTCTGATTTCACATCTGTTTCTCTTGTCATATTGTGCGTTTCTCCTGCCTGAATTGGTTTTCTGTCTCATTGTTTTATTGCAGTGTTTTGAACCGGAGAGCTTATACTCGGGGGAGAATTTTGGCAAGGTTCTGTCTACGCTGTTGGCGATAAACATCGTCACTCAAGGTAATTCTCTCACCAGTCCTTATGAACTGGTTGCATGAGCTTGTCTGTTTGTGTCTGTCTGCATTAGCCTCATCTGCGACCTCCCCTGCACTCAGGTTGTGCTGCTAGTCTGCTTTCAGTCCCCTCGGCTGCTCTGTAATGCAATTTTGTACAGTTGATGATTTTGCAGCTAGTTGCGAGCATGCAGGGTGACGAAGCCCCGCGGACAGTTTTGGCATTGTGGCTCTGATGGCTCGGCTGTGTGTGAGAGCCTCGTGTTCAGGATCATTTTTAGAAAATTGAATGCCAGTGGTCTCTCATGAACTACAAAGAGTGCCACTGTTCGCTGGCGGTTGGCAACATCTGCAAACAGATTTAGCTTTCAGTTAGTCAGGACAATGAGCCACATCTTTTCAAACTGAATGGGCCTCATTCCCAAACCGTTCTTAAGAAGAAATTTCTTCTTAAATTCCACTTAAGCAGTTTTCACGAAGAATGGCATTCACCAATGTTTTCTTATTTGGGATTTGTTCTTAGGTAGAAACAAAATCTGTACACACTCAAGAGCACAAAGATGCGAAAATTCTGTGGTTTAAGAACACGTCATGAATCTGACATAGACTTTTTCTTAGGACCTTTTTCAAGAGCAGATTTAGGAAAGATATTGTTATTGACCCATTGTTCTCAAATGGTCTGTTTCACATGGAGACATATGTTGGCAAGAGTGCCACTAATGTCAAGTGCATTGCCCATCCAAACTCAAAATTCAATTCTTGAGGTGTAAACAAAGTCATTCAGAGTGGTTTGATGTGAAATGGTGCTTGTATAGGAGCTTACCAGCTCATATTTTCTTTAGAGTGGAACCAGTGCACATAATGTCTACAATGTAACTTTGCTATTTTATTTACTATCCAATACAACCTGTGAACCTATATGTGTCTTCTGAGTTGTTATATAATGTTGATATTTGTGAAATAGTGGTGAATCTGAAAGAAGTTCTGCATGTACCTCTCCACTATGAGTGGAATTAAAAAATATACATTTTAGCCCAAAAGCTTATTCCAAAACTATCGTTAAATAATGTCTCCGGTATCGCACAGCGTATTTGTTCACTCTCCACAGTTGTGAACAATTCTGACTCTATAAGCTTCTCTGCAATGGAGCATTTCACATCAAACTACTGTAAATAACTTCTTTACATCTTAAAAACAATTGCATTATGCAGAAATCTTGAAAAATGGGTGGAATTCCCCTTTAATGTTTTGGTGGACAAGCATGCAGTGCTATGTTCTCTCACTAGAACTGTGTTTATGCATTTGTCATTGTCAAGTAAACAATAGATTTCCTACAGGCCACATTCAGTGCTTAGAACAATGTGTTGGCACACTGGAAATGTGTTTTGTTGTATTAAATGAAGTGAATTCTAACACAAATGTTCACCTCTCTGTTTACATCTGAAGTGAATTATGTCAGGCTTTTAGGCAGGTTTGGTATATTTGAATCACCTCTATGTGGTAGGTTGTTCAGTGGTTAGGGTGCGACCAGCTACCGCAGGGTGTGTGCCGTGAGAAACAGTGAATAGTGCAATACTGGCCAAAGCCCACTGACCAAGCCCCACAGCCCTACATTGTCAAGGATTTTTCCCTGTTACAATCCAAAAGGCATGATCACTTCCCTTTTCTTAAATCATATTATTGTGTCTGTGAATCTCTTATGTAAGATTTCTGAAGTCTATAGTATTCTTTATTTTAGATTGTCCCAGTGGTCAGTTTGGTCTTTGTTCTACAGTCCTGTATTTTCTTTGTGTGTTGTGGGAGAAAAACAGAAGTATAGACCCAGACATCCATCAAACAGTTGGTTTAAATTCCTGATCCTTATTTTAGTGCTTTTAGCGCACTACGGTGATCTTTTGTCTAAACTAGCAGTTTGACTTGAATTCCGTTTCCTAGGGATGGAAAAAAAGCGCTGGCTCTAATAGCGTTTTCCAGAAATAACTACATGTAAGTGTTTCTTGTAACTGTCTATCAGTGTCTTACAATGACAGGGTGGAATTTTGGCCCTGTCCCACTTCAGCAGTTTGACGTTTGAGGCCTTTCTTACATGTACAGCCTTCATGAAGTCCCCCCTCAGCATTCCAACTGGATTTAGACTCGGCCTTTGACTCAGCTATTCCCAAACTCTCCATTCTTTCTGTTTTTGAGCTGCGCTGTCATGGATTTGCTCAAGTGTTTTGTCTTGTTGAAAGATTCATTCTTGGTTCTGCTTCAGCTTTTTGACAGACGGCTTCACATTCTGCTGTTTTCTGGCAGATTGTGGAATTCATGGTTGATTCAGTGGACCCTTTGTCCTGGCCCTGAAGGAGCAAACTAGCTCTAAGCTATAATTCTTCAAACTCTGTGTTTAACAGTTCAAATGTGGTTCCTCTGGTAGAAGCATTTTTTATTATTGTTGTTTCTTGGATTTGAGATAAATAGCACTGGCAATTTGGCTAAATGACTGAATCTTTGATGCTCCTGTCCCAAGGAAAGTCTCAAATTTCCCAATTGGAAAAGAAGTACAGGGCTCTCAGTTGCTGAAATGGTGTAAGCGTTGATCCTATCATCGAGAGATTGTCCCAGGTGATGCCACAGCAATCCGTGGCCAGGCGTCCAAGAGAGCATAATTGACCTCATGCTCTGTGGCTCTCGCCCCATCCCCCAATGCAGTGCTAGCAATTGGGGGTGGCAGTTAGTTGATGTGACAGAATTGGGAGTTATTGTGCTCCTTCAAGCATGTTGCACTGTCCAATGATGTTGGGTTAGCGACAATTCAAAAAAGATGCTCTGTTTCATGGAACCACGTACTAGCCTAAATTATTATGTTGTCTATATTAATTGTCAAAATTATTGCATCACACTTACTTGTGTTCCCTGTGTTAACAAGTGTCATATTATTTTCTGATTTAACACATTCTGTGTTAAAAGTAACACAAAATGTGTTGTCTCCAACTGCACACCAGTGATCACCTTAGATTGTGAGCAAACAAGTTTAAAAAATTAATTTCTTATATGTCGCTAATCACTCTCCAGCTTTTGTGAATTTAGCCCCACATTCTCTAGTGCTCCTGAGTATTGTGAAATGAGTATTTCTGTGTTACAGTGCAGCTGTGAGAGAGTGTGTATGAGTGTGCATGCGTACTTGTTTTTGTTCATTTTCAGCACAAAATGTCCTGATTTTTGGGGCAATCAGACAGAAAACCACTAGGGCTGCAAAAAATGAATATTTTAATATTTGGCTATTTATGTGATTTAATCGACTACTGATAAACAATCAGTTGGCTTAGTTGTTTGACACTGAGATGCTGTTTACCAACAGCTAAATTACCACCAGTACCATGTGGTGTTTTGTTGAAACCTGCCTATAATTTTAACAGTAAATAATACTGATGAGTGGATGACTTTTTTTTTTCCAATAAAAACAATGTTTACAAAATGTGTAATATTGTAAGCTAATTAACACTTTGATAGGACAAGCTGCCAAATGTTTAACTTTTTTTCAGGTAGCCTGCTAAATACTGCAAGGGAACTATTTGTCAATAATATTTGATAGTCAACATTATCAGTAATGTTGAATTGTTGTTTCAGGCTTAAACTCAACTTACCTGCTGTGTCAGAAACAACAAAACTGTTTTCTCTTTGTAAAGAGCTTTTTACACTGGTATGATTTTTTTATTATTTTTTTTAACTGAAAGGGAAAAACTTCTTTTTTTTAACAAAAGTTCAGGCCTAACATTGTATAAAACCAAACCTGTGTGTCTATGTGTGTGTCTGTGTGTCTGTGTGACTGTCTGTGTGTGTGCGAGAGACACAGCTGCTCTTTTCTGCTGCGGCCAACAGATAGTTGTTTATTGAAGAGCATGTGGATTCCATGAGGGACGGCTCTTCCCCCACAACTTGTTGTGCTGTGACAGGCAGGGAAACACTCTGCTGTGGCCTTTCCCTCCACACTGTCTGCTGAGCTGGACAGTGTGTGTCCTTCTCTGCATGTTAAACGAATCTCCCCCTGGGCCCAGGCCTTCAGCTCTTTACATATAAAATCACTTACTGGGCACTTCTGGATTTGCCTCTTTGTGTCAGGAGATTGTGCTGACCATCAAAATTCCTCTGGCCTCATGTTATTGTATTAACTATTATTAAGCTTTAACAGTATAATGAAGCTGTAATTCTGTTAACAGCCTATGTTCAACCTGAACACATGTGATACAGCTGTCTGCATGCTGCCGCTGGCTATGATTAATAGAAGCAGCCTTCCTGAGACATTTCTTGCAGCAGTGAAAATCTGATGTGCGGAGAGGACAGATTAATGGACAGATTAATCTGAAAAAAATAAATTTGTGCCAGACATGATCGATCAGTTCTGTGGTGACTCAGCACATAGTTATCTCGCTCCATTCCGTACACTAAGGGCCTGATTCCTAGTCCAAATAGGACACATTGTACCCGAGAAAGCATGTTGTGTATGAAGCTTGAGTACAAGCCTAAACGTGCAATTTATGCAGTTTATGTGCAGGGGAACATAAAAAGTGCTTCTGTCCTTCATACTTGCGTTTAAGCCCAAATCGCACAAAATGTAGGTGGGTGATTCTCAAGAAACTGCCTCAGAACATGTCCATAACATTATCATCACGAAGATTATAAATATTCATATATTCATATATAATAGTTATGTAAATATTCCTAAAATGTTTGTGGAATTCTGTTTGATAAGTTTTGAGGCATATATTGTAATAATTACCTGTAAGATACTTAGTACAACAACAGTATATGAATTGTGAAAAGTGGTGCGGGCGGAAAAAAAACAATATTTACAGATTTATCTTTAAACCTTACAATCAGAATTTCTCTTGCCTACTGTGATTGTATAAACTGTTGTGCTGTGTGGCAGTCTGGTTTATCATAGTTTTAAAATTTTCATTAGGTTTTTTTTTTATTCTTTTTTTCCGTTAGTCTTAGTCTTTCATTTAGTCATTTCAGTTTTATATT